GGGAGAGGTTTGTGAGCCGCGCGTACGAGGCACCATGGGGGCTGGATTTCAGTTTCAGGCCACGCTCGGCGTGCTTATCGCCTACATAATCGGCAAGTATGTCCACTGGAACTCTCTGGCGATAGCGTGTGCAATCATGGTGGCCGTGTGGGCACCGCTCGCCTGCCTGATCTGCGAGACACCTGTGTGGCTGCTGGAGCACGGCCGCGACGCACAGGCGCTCGAGGCGCTCCAGTGGCTGCGAGGTCCGGACGCCGATGTCGGCGCAGAGCTGAAGTCACTTCGCGAACAGACGGAGCACGGCGCCAGCAACAAGGCGACGGTGATGGACCTCTTCAGCCACGACAACCGGCGGCCGTTCGTCATGGGCATGATGCTGATGCTGCTGCAGCAGCTCAGTGGCGTTAACGCCGTCATTTTCTACACGGTGAACATTTTCGAGGACGCCGGCTCATCGATCGACTCCGACCTGGCCACCATCATCGTAGGCCTGGTGCAGTCGGTGTCGACGTTCGCCGCCGTGGTGCTGGTGGACCGGCTGGGCAGGAAGGTGCTGCTGCTGCTCTCCGACGGCGTCATGGCCGTCTGCCTGCTGGCGCTCGGCGTCTACTTCTACATGGAGAGCGCCGGCACCGCAGACGATCTCGGCTGGCTGCCGCTCGTCTCGCTCATGCTCTATATCTTCGCATTCTCGATTGGACTCGGACCCATTCCGTGGCTGATGATGAGTAAGTACCTGCATCATACAATACTTGTTACTTAATTGTAATCATATTCATTCCTGTTTGAAGAGGAATATCTATTTCCTGTCATTTGGCGAAGCTGTTTTTTCTCGTATATCTATATCTGAATCTTTCTTAAGTAAATATTTAAAATGAGTTAAGGTATGGTATAAGTAGGGTGAAGTCGTATAAGAGTACGCACTTAGTGGATTTCTTGCTCTCATTTGTTTAATATTTGAAGGAAAGAAATCGCAAATAGGGAATATTAAAGTTCATTGAATTAGCCATCAACCCATGGGGCAACGATCCTTCAGTGTAAATGGAAGTGGTCTAAAACTGACATTTTCTGAACCGTTGCACTTGCGTACTCTTACCATATGGGGTGTGTAAGAGTACGCACGCCAGGCGGGTGGAGTACGCAAGCATATGAACACACACCTATGCAGCTTGCGCTGTCCAAATGCTTAACTTCAAACTCAGAAGGCATTTAAGTTAATTCTAGTATCCCAAAAGAAAAATATAAAATAAATCTTTGAAGTCTATAAATCAGGAAATAATCATGTCGTGTGTTTCTTTAAAAAAATGCACAATCAAACAGGAGAAAAACTCGTATTTGGAAGAATTTCGGGTACGCATCTGCATCACAGTGCTCCATTGATGATATACCTACAAAACAAACGTCATTGAGCGATATATTAATAATTATATATTTCTGCATATTCGATTTAATGTATAATTCTGCGTACTCTTACCCTCCTGAACAGTGCGTCCTCTTACCGTACATGCAATTCGCGCACAAAACAACCCCGAAACGTTGTGCAAAACTTCGCAAACAGAATATTGCACTGTACAGTATTTCCCCAGATAACCTCACAAGTTTCCCACAACAATCACGGAAATGTACCTCATCTCAACTGCCAAGTATCAAAATTATTGTACCATATCATAATAATATCATAACGCTCGAAAATAATATTCATCGCCTTAAACTCAACAGCGTCGCCGCTCAACGCCCACGTTCCGTTGGTGACATGCACGCACTGGCGGCTTCATGTCACTTCATGAACTCGACAAACCCGCGTTGCTAAGCAACCGAAACAGCTGATGCGTACTCTTATCGCCCGCGTACTCTTACCCGCCCTTAGGGGAGAGTGGGGTGGGTTGTATCAGTTTTTACACCGAGACCCATAACCTCGTAACTATCCGTGATAAACTCATTATTTCCATACTATCTCCTTCCTTGATTCTTCTGCTTTTTTGTGCAAAGTAACTTTTCCGCTACCTCTACCAGTTTTTCTTCTACGGTCTGCCGAATAGAACAATGTTTTTGATACAACTTGCCCCATGGCTTGGGTGAGTTGTATCACATGGTGGGGTAATTTGTATCACTAGGTATTTCACGTTTCAGGGAGCAGGGACGTCGACACCGGTCCGACTTTTCCGACTAGTCGGACCACTTTTTCGACTAGGCGGTGCCCTGCTGTGGCTCGCGGGGGCCCTGCTGTGGCCGCGGGGGCCCCTGTTGGGGCTCTCGGGGGCCCAGCTGCGGCCACGGGGGCCCCTGCCTAACCTAACCTAACCTAACACCTGGGGGCCCCCACCGGTGGGGGCCCCCCGAGAAAAAGTCGGACCAGTTTTCCTTACGCGTCGACGCCCCTGTCAGGGAGTGTGCTTGCTACTGGTTTTGAACATAACAACAACATTAAATGGGGTTAATACAATGTATATGCTCAAAGGCTTCACTTTTATTAGACCAAACTTAGGTCAATGCAATCCGAACGAAACATCGAAACGAACGAAACATCAACAGACTAGATGCAAAAGTGGCCCGTTAAGAGCAAAGAAGCCAACACATTGTGCCGAAATGGAACGAGTATTGACTAGCTACCTACAAACGCGAGACAGGGCTTAGCTTTCGCGATCAAAAGAAACATACCCATACATACATACATGTTACAACATACCCCACCCGGCTCTGATACAACATGTCCCTAGCTTTCGCGATCAAAAGAAACATACCCATACATACATACATGTTACAACATACCCCACCCGGCTCTGATACAACATGTCCCTCGCCGCCATCTTGGAAAAAAACATCCTCGTGCTCAAAACAGCGGACAGCTGGAGAAATCCATTTTCACTCACGCAGCCTTAGAACCTACCCTCACCACCGCTACGGAGATCTTTCAAATTCGTACACATCTAAATGCCCAAAACACACATTTTCTTGCAACTCATTTTTTTTTAGAATGACATTAAAAAAACATAAAATCGGCTCTCACCTCGAGACGCGTCCACCCAGCCACACGACAGAACAGGAAAGATTGCGCCCGGAAAACCTCGTCGACTGGTCGTGTCACGAGCGCTATCTATTGGATAAGTTTGGCACAATTCGCCCTGATACAACTTGGACATGATACAACTCTCCCCGCTCTCCCCTACCCTATTAAGTATTGGCATAACTTAGGTACAGGATATCCACTACAGCCCACTAGGCGTTGCTAGGAGTCACTATGTATAGGTGAAATCACGGTGTCGGTACGAGTCCCCATAAGCATTCACATATTCCGATTCCGATCAATCCCCCCTTACTATGAATATACGCCAGTGTCCACACTGTTTACCCCGTGCCGCAGGTGAGCTGTTTGCGCCGGAGGTGAAGGGGGCCGCAGGAGGGATCGCCACCGCCTTCAACTGGACCCTGGCCTTCATCGTTACCCTCACGTTCGAGCCGCTCGTCGAGGGCATCACCGAGGCCGGCGTGTTCTGGCTCTTCGCCGCCATCTGCTTCGGAGGCGTCTGCTACGTCACCGTCTTCGCCTACGAGACCAAGGGCAAGACGCTCCAGGAGATTCAGGAACATTTTAGATCCTAGTGACAGACGCGCCTCGATCGTTTAACTTTTTCTGATTGAGAATCTTGCGTAGCCGATTACTATACTTCTGAATAAATGAATGCCATATTGGTACCAAAAGAGCTATTTCAACGTTGTTGCTGCATTTGTCATTGAGATGCTGAGCGATAATACATATAATTATGCAAGCACCCAGCAGTGAAAGGAAATAAACGTCTTTCATCACAGCGAAACGTTTCCTGCACAGCATTGCGAGGTCCACGTGTTATTCTTCACCGTATGTAAAAGGCAGTCACCTTCGATTTATAAGCTGTAGGTACCTATTTATATAGTTTCACTGTCTCCTCTATCATCCAACCAAAGACTGACACGGTTCGCTGTTCGAACACTCATCCCTAGGCCGCATTGGGCCTTTTTCAGCGTCTAACGTATAGCCACGCGCAGTCCCAGTCAGTCAAAGGGTCACTCCGGAGGGACTGGAAGATCTATATGCAGCACTATCTGTAGTGTGCAAAGGCGCACTGTGCTCCTTTCGGAGCTGCGCTGACCTCCGCTGATTATATGGTGGGGCAATGGTCAGTCCCGGCAGGTTAGCCAGCTCAACTCATTTCCTCTCTAGGTGGCAGCACAAACACGAACACCGGTGGAGGTGTAGATGACGCTAGCTAAGGCCTACTCTCCTATCATGCCAAGAGTCCCTCCGATGCTGAAACATCTGTAACCTGCTGGCTGCTGCATGAAATAGTAATGGCAAAATAAGCCTAACCTCACTTCCAGCATGTCCTTATCATCAGTTGAGAATAAGTGAACACCCTTTAGCTTTATGCCACGCGGAAACAACACTTCAAAGTAAAGTCCAGTCTCTTTGGTTGAAGTTAGGTCGGACAAGGTACTGATGAAAAGTACTTATATTTTTGACGCTAGATGGCAGGATCATCAAACGCCTGAAAGTAGACTGTGCCGCAAGGTCCGGCCACACCGAACGCCTGAAGGTTAGACTGTACCGCAAGGTTCGGCCAATGCCAGCCCCCACGGCGCGTGGCGACGCGAGCGTCTCTTCATCCCGGATACGGGCTTTCAGCACATCGCATATTCAATAGAAAAACACAATTCTAAAGAATAGTGTTTGTCTAATGAAGAAACAACCTTCGGGTACACAAGACCGTGTCTGACCTTGTCTTGTGCCAAGATCAACTCGGTGGCAGATCAAATTGAATCCTTCGGGGGTTGGTAGGGAAACGGGCAGTCAACTTCACACGCTGCGATCAATGTTGGTGCCGGCCAGACTGGACCTATCGTAAGGTCCTATGTCGTATGGTAACGTTAGACTCACTACTCACTACCAGCTTTCCGTCACTGTCACCGGTAGTTGGCTACACTACACATGGCGTGATATGGGACTGGGCTAGAATGGACTAGAATTCACACGCGGCACACGGTGCGCGATTTTCTCAGAGAAAACATTGCACGGAGTAAAAGTTTATTGTAGACTGTAGTTGGTGCTAATTTCTTTCAAATATTGTAGATAGACGGCAGCACATTAATTGAACTTATGACCATTGCCTAACGATCTGTTTAATTCGATCGCTCAAGCCAAACAATTAATGGAAGCCTGACAAGTCGATTCAGAGCGGAGGTGCGCCCCATATTTTACCATTTGCAGTCCGTTCGACGGAAGATCGAACTATCTAGCTCACAGTCACGCTATTCTCGGTGGCTTGCGCCGTCGTGGAATACGGCTGAGTGGTTTCCGGCGGCTCTGTCGTGGTGACGAGCTGGTCCTCCGTCTGGCAGACGAAGCGCAGGTAGCTGACGATGCAGTCGCCGTCCCTCCAGCCGTCCGTCCCGCCGCGCTGCAGGTAGGCGCAGCGCTCCCCGTCCCCTCGCGGCTGGCCGGCCGCCCAGTCGTGCCAGTAGTACGGCGTCCCGTCTGACCACTGCCAGCCGGCGCTCTCATTGGGCCGGCGCAGTCCCAGCCAGCCGCCGGTGCCGTTCAGCACCTGCTCGGCCACAAAGGCCGCCACCTGCAGGTCGTGCACGGAGACGTGCCGCGAGCCGGGCGCCTGCAGCTCGCACACGCTGGCCACGGAGCGCCACTCGAGAGGGAACGGCGAGGCCCAGTAGCATTGGTCGCGGTACAGCAGCCACTGCGGGGAGGGGCAGACAGCGCCGGCGGTGGCCAGCGCGGCGCTCAGGGTCACCACACGCAGAGCCATAGAGAGAGGACAGAGTGGGAGACGGTCAGGGAGTCAGCCTTCTGACCTGGTCTGACCGACAGTCGAGTGATCAGTGGGCGTTAGCCTTCGGTGATTCGAAGTGGTCAAGATAATTGTGACCGGCGTCTATCAGCCCCCTCCGAGCAGCGGGTACGACACACGCCGGTCACAGCCCGTGCACCGGCGCCCGACCGGCACCGGTCTATCGGCCATTAGGATCGGATCAACAGGCGAGCTTTGTGGGCTGCTCAAGAGCAATTTACGAACCTGCAGTATCGGTAAATGCAACAGACAAGCCATTCTGCGAAGCCATTACCTCTGAGCTCTCGAAAAGCTGGATAAATGCCAGCTGTCAAGTACATTGAATTGGAGACGAGAACTGCAATTGCATCCCGTCGCTTCGACAAAAACATCCAATTACCTACACAAACAACAGCGCAGACGCTAAAGCGTCTGTACCGCAGTACTCTGCAATAATAGGTATACCGATATACCCTAATTGTGATATGCCTATTAGAGACAAGAATACAGACCTCCCATATCGGCTATCACATATAAGCATCATTGGCCGATATTATCAAGAGCTATTTCAGCACTCCTTTATTAGTCACGACGCACAATATCTCGAGTGTTGGCGAGGTTTGTCTCCGTAGTTGTCGTAGTTAAAAGTAGCATAAAACTACACAGATATCAATGCTGACCACATCGGTCCATTTACTCCGTCAGTGGTCTCGGTGGGCTCGCAGTTGATAATACTTAATTAAACCCTAGCGCTCTCCAGCCACGCTAGCGGTCCCAGCATCCCCCGACCCTCATTATCAGCGGCCCGGCAGTGGCTGACCTCACCACTAACATCAGCGACCCCAGCGGTGCCCCGTCTGATGAATGTGGTTCCAGCGGGCCGGACCGACCGGGCGGTCCAGCATCGATCGTCGACCGACGTGGCACCCGGCGCCGCCCATCGATTCCCAGCGCCGCCGCCGCCGCCGCCGCCGCCGCCGCCACTCTCCCAGCTGAGACGCCGGCGGCGGCGGCGGGTCACGGATAGAGAGCTCGGCTCCCTGGCGATACAGGGGCGTGGCGCGGGCACGCTGCACGGAAACGAAAGCGGTCGGTCAGCCGTGGACAGCCGTGAGCCGACGGTGCCAGTGAGAAGGGGCGGACGAGGGTGGAACGAGTGTCGGCGGGTGGTGAGAAGCGGCACTGTGGTGTGGTGTGGTCGCGGCGAGGGAGGCGATTCACGGTGAGAGCAGGGCTGTAGGGATTGGCAAGCCTCGCCGACGATCGTCTGAGCAAGAAAACAGAGGTTCTGCTAGTGAGGACGGTTCTGGAAAGACAGACTGAGGACCGGCCGGCGGCGGGTTTCGACCAGCTTCGCACTTGGTGGGAGCGGGTCGTCCAAGCATCCAGCTCCTGATCCAGCTCTCAGCAGGTGTCTGGCCCTGTTTCGCGCAGCAGGGGCAGCCACTCGGCCCGACCATGAGCTCGGCCGAGGGCCCGCGGATCAGCGTGAGCGGCTCGGCGCCGGCCCGCTCGCCGAGCCGCGAGTCGCTGCGAACCGACACCAGCCTGGCCACCGTGCTCTCCGGCGAGATGGTGCGGCTCGGCCTGCGGATGCCGGGCGCCTCACGCGGCCCGTCTCCGGGCCCCGGCGCGCGGCTGCGGGTGCCCGGCGGCGGGCCGGGCCGCGCGCCGGGCACCGACGCCTGGTGTGAGGACGAGGCCGACCTGCTGCGCTCCTGCGGTCTCCTCAGCCGCATGCTGGGCATGTCCAAGAGCTTCAGCACGGGCGACATCGCGCGCCTGGAGGAGCCGGAGCCGGTGAGGAGGGCGGTCAGCCAGGCGGCGCTGCTCGGACTGCGCACGGAGCTGGCCGCCGGCCGGCTCGACCAGGCCAGCCGCTCGTGCAGCACCTGGGTGGCTGTGGGGGACCTGGCCTCCACCTCCCAGCTGCCCTCGCCGCAGGGGCGCCAGCAGACGGCCGCCGGCGGGGCCGGACAGTCGCCCTTCTCCGCCGCCGACCTCATACGGGCCGTCAACAAAAAGGTGCGTATCTACGTGCACGATAACAATTAACCAATAGAAAGAAAACACGGCCCACGTGCCGTCTATGTAACAATGATGTCCTCACGTAAACACATACGGAAAACGCATTAGCCAAAGACACGCAATCAACTGACTAGACACAATTGAGCGTAGCAACGCGGGCCATTTGCGGGCTTTTCGCGCACGGCACTGGTAGCACGCAGTAAGACGGTTTATCGTCATCAAAAACTGAATTTCTTCCAACACTGCACTTTCTGTGATACAAACAAAAGGCATTTTCTCATGCCTCCTATTCGATCAAGCGTAAAAACTGACATTATTTATGCTAACCATGACCATTTTAAACATTCACGGTCACTAAATCGTAAGAAACACACGGTAATTGCGATGAACGGCGCTATGCTGGTCGTTTTCTCCCCTCGGTAGCGGACAGGGCAGGTCCATTTCGCCGACGTATTTGCTCAGCGGCTCCGCAAACAATCGGGTCCATCCGCTACTGGTGCGGGGCACGCACGTCAACAGTGGCCCTCCCGACTGTGATACAGAGAGCAGTCACACGCGCAGTGGATATCACACGGGTGTCTGACGGTGATTGATCAGACAATCACTGTCAGTAGTCTGTACTGGCCGCCCGGGCCGGATCAGTCGAGCGAGGAGGAAAGCTTAGCGGTGGAATGTAGAGACCGTGCCACGTATAAATTCTAGACTACGGACAGTTATCCAAGCACCGTCCATGGTCCACCTATAGTCGTAACTACAGCTAACACTGGGATTCATCTATATAAAAGACATCAGACGGCATTGTAAGTCACCTTAACCCTCGCCCTGGCAGGGCATTTTTCATAACACGGCTTGGCAGGGGGGGGGGGGTCGATGCGACCCCCCCCTCGCGATTGGCTCCTATGGCACCTAGAAACACCAAAGTTGGTAGGTAGGTGGGCCCCCTGGAGTCCTCGCCCCTGTGCAAATTTGGTTGCTCTAGGCCAACATTTAGGGGGGTTTGGGGGGTATAAATGTGAAAATTTCGCTAAAAACAGGTCAAAAGCTTTTCGCTTATAACTTTTCATCTAATTAAGATAGCGCAAAAATAAAAGCACCAGTGAACTCAGCACGTCAAGTCGCGTCGAATGATATACTTTTTAACCTGCTTAAGTGTACTTAAAGTTTTCTTAAATTTTAAGTAAACTTAAATTAATAAATTAAGTTCAAGTTAACCAAATTGCATCATATCGCATATCATTCGATTCGGCTGATCACTAGGATAGGAAAGGAACACAATGATACCATTTTTTAAGCTCTAGCGTCATTATGTGCCAAGTTATTGGCAAAAACGTCATTTGACCTCAGTTGACCTCATTTGACCTGACCCATGGATAAGTACACCAGACAAAGAAGCACCAAGTGACCTGCTGTTAAGTACTGTGGTTTCAAAGCACAAAAGTGATAGAACGAAGCGGATATCTCAAGTATTTTCCGAATTTAGTATTTTCCCATAGGCTTAACATTACGACGTAATGACCTCTAACTGACCTCAGGTCAGTGACCTCAAAAAACCCGAACTATATGTTATACAACTCGGTGAACTTGGCACATCCTGAAAGTTTGAAGGAAATCAGTCCAAAACTGTGAGTTGGACAGGTGCAAAAAGAAAATTGAAACTTGACCATGACCTTGTACCGGTTTTTCTGACCTGGTGACCTGACCCAAGGTCACCCGGACCTGAAATTTTCAGGTCATATGTAAAAAGGTTGCCCCATAGGCTGTGCCAACTTTGGCGGCGCTGCGCGCCGCCGTTTTTACGCTATCTTCGAAAAACCTTAGGGGGGGGGGGTCGCATCGACCCCTGAGGGCGAGGTCGAGACTAGAGACGGTCAGGCGGACTCAGATTCAAATAAATAGGATTCAAAAGTTGGCTCAGACCGATTTCTCACCTACACTGCCGTCTTACTAAAGGCATATCGCTCCAAAGGTAAAGATGGCCGCATCTCTGTCGGTACGCTTACTTACGGTTACGCTTAATAACAGGCAGAGACGGTATCTAGTATCTCTATCTACTACCTTATGCTTTTCATCGAGAATGAGACTTTCAACATTTTCATTCTTCCAGGCTGCAACGTTGTTCGTTTTAATTTGGTTTCGCTGGGGAGCCTGCTCGGTCTAAATATATGACCATTGTAAGACCATAAAACTGGATTAAACGTAAGCCGAGTTAGGCCCTGGAGACCCACACGACGCTGAAAGCGCCCGACCTCATGGGCAGGCTCCCAAGACCAGTCACCAGGGCGGCCACTCCATGGGTTCACCAAAGAAAAGAAAGAACGTTTCAGACCAAACAAGTGTTGTCGGAAGCAGATGCTTGTTCGGGTAGCGGGTTGAATCTGAGGCGATTATAGCCACGGATCTTGAGCCCAAACTGTGAAACCCATGAGTTGCCACAGTAATAGATGGTGCAGTATTTTATCTGAGGCTCTCAATACCCGATCCGCCATCCTCGACGGAGGCCAAACCAGCTGAAACGTTTCGATTTGACTGCTCCTGACTGGACCAGTAACAACTATTACCTAATCGGTCTATTTACTGTCGTCGTTGACAGGTCCTACACGCCTACCGCGACCGGTCTGACTGAGAGTGACAATCCATCATAGGTGACCGAACACTTGAACAGTCTCAAGTAGCCGCTCTGGCTGCCCTAGTTCAGTGACCAGTTCGGCTGACTCAGAGACCAATCTGGCTCAGCCTGTTTGCTGTCTGTGACCTGTCAGATTGCAGCTCATCCCTTTAACCAGCCCATCACCCCTAGCAACCGGTGTGGCCGCCCTCAGTGCCAACGACAGGCCCCCCGGCCACAGATGGTCATTGACGTCATCGCTGTCCGAGCTGTCGACCGTTCGGGGTCTCATATCGGCGGCGCGGTGCCGGCGGCCACGCCCGGGCCGGCTGCACCTATTCCTGGCGCTCGGAGAGGGCGCGCGGGCGGGTCTGCAGCTGCTCTGTACGGCGAACTGTAGCCGTCACCGGCCACCGGCACTGGACAGTATTTCTGTCGGACCCGGGCCGGGCCGGGACCACCTACCAGGCGCTGCACTGGTGTCAGGGGCACGCCCGACTTAACCCGCGCCCTGGTGGGGTCTGTTTATAACGCGATCTGGTGGGGGAGGGGCTATTTTTTGCCCCCCCCCCCTTGTATCTCCGAAACTACTGGACGGATCCGCAAAATTCAAACGGCGTTCGAAAGGCCTGTCAAATTTGTCGAAGGAAACCAAATTTCATTGACCTCAGGGTCACCGATGACGTCACAGGTCAGGTCAAAGATGAAATGTTTCACCGTTAACGGGTCTTCTAAGGAATGCGCTATAACACCGAAGAAAACGCATTTTGTCGAGAATCAGCGGTAGGGCGTCAGTTGCCTAGTAGATATGTTGCTATTAGAGGTCACTGGCAATACCAGGTCAGGTCACAGGTCAGGTCACCAAGGGTCACAGGTCAGGTCACATGAGCCCAACTTTACTAAGGTTGTGTGATACATGTTTTATGGCCAATTTTTCATTTCCAACTCAATGGTGTTGGTTATAAGACTATCAGGTACGGCTTAGGTCACTTTCTGGTGAAGTTCAGGCCAAGGTCAGGTCAAGGTCAGGCCAAAAAAGGTCAAATTTTAAAGTTGATAGTTTTGCATAAAATGGGTATTGATTCGATGCAACTCGTCACGCGGAGTCTAATGGTGGTCTTTGTTTTGCGCTACGGGGTCTAGAATTGCTAAAAATTGAGTTTGAAAATTTGACGTCATCAATTTTGAACAGTTTTTTCGCTATAACTTCGCCAAAAAAAGAGGTATCAATCTCACATTTGGTATGTGGATGGAAGGCGGTAAGGACTATCACATATATTCCGGTTTTTGCGAAATTCAAAAAACTTTTTGGATTTTTTGATTATTATATCCAAAAAATCTATTTTTTGATTTTTGGGGGTCAAAATCCAAAAATTTCAAAAATCCGAGATAACAGTTTTGTAGCCCTGTCCAATCTACAGCTTTTATGTCTTTATCATTTTCTGTATTTGCAAAGCTATAGGCCTGACAGCTCTTTCCGCGAAACCCTTTTTTTTGGGTCGAAAACGGCAGAACATGACGTCACTCTGACGTCATTTCCGGCCAACCTATCATAGCCTTTGGAAAATTTTTTGGTCACAATGTGTAAAATTGATGTCCGGGAGGGTACTGAAAGTTTGGTGACGATCGGCGCAGCGGTTCTGGAGATATATCGAAAAGTCTGGAGGGGGGGCAAAAAATAGCCCCCCCCACCAGGTCGCGGGTTAAACTTGGACAAAGATCGGCATCAGTTAATCGAAATTTGTCCACCAGCGGACGGATCCTGCTCAAAGGTGGTCGTTGTTTGTCTATGTTTGGCCTGAAGCGGAAACTGGGGCGATAATGTTGGGGTCAGACACTAATGCGATTATCCGCAGGGTCAATTGACTATTGCCAAATTCCATTAGTGTAACTCTCGGCTGACGATGTCGCTCCGCTATGCATTTAGGGAATTATCACGCTTCTGGCAATAATAGACAGTGTCATTGATGTTGTTTTTGTTGGGTTATGCTCTTTCGGTCTAGCGAGACCATTTCAGTGTCGGAAGGATGACAGGAATTAGCGGGAGACCTGGGTCTGAACGGGCACCCCAATGAGTCGTCAGGGCTGAGTCCATCCAGTCGACAGGCCGCCCAGCCCCCTAGACACAGCACCCGGCCACCGGCGTGCTCCTAGGGGAGCTTCCCGCATGGGATAAAGCTGCCCATCTAGCTCAGAGCAAGGGGTTAAAGCATGGAAAAGGTTTCGGCTGTCCTGAGGATGAACTGACGGAACCTTGAATGCCATTGCCCCAGTGTTTGGTTGCTGACGGGATGCCGTGACCCTTCTATCCTGCCAGTGCTGTTCGAGGACTCAAACTGACGCTCCACTACTAATCTCGACTGACTATCCTGTCAGCGCCGTGTGCTCGACTGACTATGAACCAACTGACGTCTCATCACCACTGTGTGCTGTCTGCTGGCCCCACTCGTCACAACCCTGCGCCGCCCCATATGGCGTCCCACCCCGCCGTGTTCCGACCCCGACTGACGTTCTGTCACTGCCGTGTCACCAGGTGCGTCAGAACTACATCCGGCGCCGGCTGCACATCACATTCAACGCGCTGAACCGGCTCTCACAGAGCGAGTTCAACCTGGAGCAGCTGTTCAGTACTGGAGTCCTGCCTCCCTTCGGCGTCCCGACGGTGACGACGGGAGACAGCAGCGCCGGTCGACCGGCCGAGCCGCCGCCGCCGCCCACCGCCGTACCGGCCGCCAAGACGGCGCCGAGAGCCGCCCAGCCGGGGGCGGGGGCGGGGGCGGGGGCGGCCGCGCAGCCGGGAGTCACTTTCCGAGACGTGGACCGACAGCGGGGTCGGCCGCTGACCCGCTACCAGCGCAACATGATGGTCTTCAACTGGCTGCACACGCTGGACGAGAACAGTCTGGAGGTCACGTAGTAGTGACACGTCCCGAGTCTGGGCAGGCGTTGATTCCCCTGGTCGGCAGGAAGCCAGAAAAGTGCTACTCCGAGGGAGGATAGCCAGCGTGGCGTCACCGCTGCCTCGGCGCGGGTGGGGTACTCCCCGCTGGTTCAGGGGAGGGAGGAGTGCCTCTAACAGAGGTGGGAGCCTAGGGTGAGACTGACGCGTCCACCGGCCGGTCGGAAGGGTGCGCCGTCACCAGTTGTCGCGCCCCTCGCCTAGCTACGTCCGACTCCTCCAAGGAGCCGTCCTTCAGTTGTGCTTTCTGAGTTGGGAATGGCGTGGTCCGGTTCTGTTTTGCTACATAATGTGCTTGGAAGATGAGAATATCGATGGATATTATGTCGTGAAGTAAAAACATATTGTTAATGCTTATCAAATGTTCTTTAGTAGTCAATTGAAAGTCAAAAGTATGAGTGTTATATATTGAAAATAGAAAACCTATAAAGTTTCATGAATGAGAGAGACGCTAAGTAGTACGAGTTGGAATGACATAACATTTGTTTTATGGCTTGATGCTATATGTCCAAGTGATTCACTCGACAGACAGCAAATGCAAGACGCTTCATACTTTATAACCTAGATAACGCAACGCAGGCATCGATTCACTACAGCAGAGCTCGAGTCCTTCCAATGAATCGCCATCCAGCATTGAACCGGTTATCACAGATTTTCAGGTCACACCACAACTTGCTACCATTGAAGCAAACGGGTCTACTCACACGGCACAAACTGCATTGCCATAGGACGCAAACATCAAGGATCACAACGAAGTTCAAACGCACCTTTGCGACAAACACCAGTCGGCGGTCTTTGGCAGCCCCGTCCACCTTGGTTCTCATAGTCATAACAGTGTGGTCAATGGTCAGTGACTTCTCAGCCTCCCAATTTCACCCCCGTCCACCGTCATTCGATGATGATGAATTGGGGGTTTAGGGCGCCCAGACTGCGTTGGTCATCGGCGCCTATCCACTGCCATTCCATTCCCACGTATGCCTCATACGCGGTCATTCGGCTCCCCGTCCATCACCGTTCTGTGCCCTCCACTACCTTTCCGCTCCCTCGTTTGTCTCCTATCACTCCGATCCCTCGGCCCACTAGCTAACGCCTCCTCTGACGGCTACCTGGCTCCGCCGGTGCCGAAGCGCCTGTTCCAGTCGACGTACATCTGCAGGTCCTCCTGCGACACACTGGCTCGAATGTTGGCCAGCGCAGCCACAAAGTCGTCGTAGATCAGCGGCCGGACCTGCCGCACGCACCAAATGGTCAGATGAAATCTGTGGGGCTAGGGACGAGAGGTGGAACGCATGGGACGAGATACTACCCATTCATAGTAAAGTATGTTTCCACAGAGCAGTGACATACTTGCCATTCAAAATTCAAATACAGCGTTGGGAATTGAAATACAGCGAGCCACCGCAAATTTTCACGGGCGACAGCACGACACTCACTCTAATGGCAAAATAGACGGGAATTAGACAGTAAATTAAGAAAACAGAAAATAAAATAAACTTAATGAAAATAGAAAATATTCGAAGCGAAACGTATGGTTGATTCAACTGACACACGGGCAGCTCGGTTACAGATCAGACGCCACACCGCCTCCCTCGGCCCCGTGTGGCCTCATTGGTACACCAGCAGTGGAGTGGCGCTCCGACCCGGGGATATCTAATAACGCGCGCGCGATCGGCGCATTCTGGCCGCGTCTCGCGGTGGATATCCGACCCATCGGTGGTGCGGCCGGCTCTGAATGGTCTGTATAATCTGACCGGCGACCGAGCCGTTTCCAAGGAGGCTACAATCAATAACAGTCGCGGCCGACCGAGTATAGGGGAGGTGCAAACCAAAGCGGGGTACATCAGACAGCTTTCACCGCACCATCAGGCCCTGAGTCGCTCCCATCGGTCCCTAACTCTCTACCGCCTCGATCGGGACCGGGGTGCACTTGACAGTCTAATCTTTCTTAATTAGCGCCGGGGCATGCTAATGATAGTTCTTACTGCCACCCTCGAGAACGAGACTCCAGAATGTCCCCCGCGCGACTCAAAACTAGACGGACCCCACGGCCCCGATGGAGACCGAGGCATGAGGACAACTCAGTCTCATATACCCTGCCTCCTCCTCCTGACCATCAGCCGGGAGTCAGGCAGACGCCTCTCGCCACTGGATATCTGCGGCACGCCAGACGGCTCGCTCCCGGCCTGATTTACATTGCATATCTGGTAATGATGCAATCTAACTCAGCCAGCGGCGACCCAGAATATTCGCTGTGGACCCGGCCGCCTCCGAGTTCGGACCCATCCGAGACGACGGTCAAACGCTTCGGCAGCTATAAAATTTAGATACGGTCTCATATAGACGGCGAGACAGGCCCAACTCGGCAGCATAACTTGGGCTGTTGACGTTGTTCGGTCATGTTCCGAAGTTCGGTGTCTATTTTCGTATAGCATAGGCACCGTCCGTCTGCACGCGACTCTCTCAGCGGTTCCTCCATCCTCCCGACTTGCAGACCCTCTCCCCTATCTACGTATTCCCTGAATCCTGACCTGTTCGGGGGTGATGTCGTGGATCTGGTCGGGCCCGATGCAGCGGATGGGGCCCAGCGCCGCCTCTCGGCACAGGTTGGCCACGTCCGCCCCCGAGTAGCCGTCGGTATCGGCGGCCACTGCGTCCAGCTGCTCGCCGCTCAGCTGGTGTCTCTGCGAGCTCAGCAGACGCTCCACAATCTGTCTGCGCGCGGCGGCGTCCGGCAGCGGCACGTACAGCCGCTTCACCAGCCGGCGCCGGGCCGCCTCGTCCAGCTCCTGAGGCCGGTTAGTGGCGCCGACAACCAGCAGACGGTCCTCGCCGCTGGTCCCCGCGCCGTCCTGCGAAAACACAGGGAGGTGAGGGACTACCAGTAAACATATAATCTTGGTCGTTAGTCCTCGTCCCCTTCTAAGGCACACATGGGGCGTGAGGGGCCAGAAACAACACGAATGTCCCCACTGTTTCCTGGGACATCATAAAAATACACTGTTATTTCCAAAGCAATCGATAAAAAGTGTGAATCGATTCAGGACAATGATAGGGGCACAGTTGTTGAATTCGTCCACGTTGATTCTTATACGCATGGGTAGAAAAGTTGAGGCAAAAATGGAAACCAGTCTAGGAAATTAATGGCTCCAAACGGTTCGGATTTAGAACGGCTCCACTCCAACCATGTTGAACAGCCGTCGTTAAATATCAACCGGTGGTTCTGGCCTCCAGTCTTCTGTTATCCGCCGGCTACCAGTGTCACGAGCACGACTGCAGTGTCCTTCCCAAACTCCGACCCTCCCCGGCTCAGATTCCCACCGAGGACCGCCCGTACCTAAGAGCCCCTCCCTCAGGAAGGGCACCCCTAGTCCACCCACGTAGCTAGCTCACTGGACAGCACCCCAACCCTTCACACCCACCCCAGCACACCCGGGGCTTCCGTGTCGCCACCTCTCGGGGCCCGGAAGCCACGGCCGAGTGAAGACCGCGCCCGCCGAGCACGCGATGAGGAGGGCCTGGAGGCCCGGAGGGCCTGTGTCGAAGTCAACGGCACGAAGAGTGGCGAGCGCGTGTACAGGGCGGGCCTGCCGCAAGGCAGTGTCCTCTCTCCGACCCTGTTTCTGTTATGGTCGGCGCCGCTCGTAGCAACGCTCAAGACCCTGCCCGGCACAACCCCATTCATGTTCGCCGATGACACCTCGACGCTCTGCGCCGGCAACTCCATCGCCGTGGCCCGGGACCGGGCGCAGCTGGCGGCCAACACGCTCGTGAAGTGGGCCCGCCGGAGTAAGATGGAGGTCGCGGGTCAGAAGACGCAGCTGCTCGTCCTCTCCCAGAACCCCCGAGACGCCGTCGACTGTCACATCCACGTGGCGGGTCAACTGGTGGAAGGGGGACCTGAGCTGAAACTTCTGGGAGTGACGCTAGACAGGACGCTGAGCTTCGGCCCGCACTGCAGAAGTCTCCGTCGGCGCGTCCGGCCCCGAGCGGCCCAACTCCGACGTCTCACCGGCCGCAGCTGGGGGTTGCAAGAACAGCAGCTGCGCGCCGTCGCAAACGGCTACGTGCGCGGCGCGATAGAGCACGCGGCTGCTGCCTGGCTGCCGGCAGTGTCCAAGTCCAACATCGAGATCCTGGAGCGGGAGATGCGCGCCGTGGCGAGGATCGTCACGGGCTGCATACACTCCGCACCACACCACGGTGTGACGGCCGAGGCTGGCATGCTGCCTGTCGCGGCACGACGTACTGCGCTAGCGGCGCGTATGTTCGCGAAGGCTGCCGCGCTCCCGCCAGAGGACCCCCTCCGAGCGGTCGCCATGGCTGACCCCCCTCAGCGCCTCAAGCTGGTCACGGGGTGGCGCCAAGTAGGCCGGGAGGCCCTGCGGGAGCTACGGGTCGAGCTGCCGGTTGAGGCCCTACTACCAGAGCGACCGCCACCGTGGACGCCCACCGGCAAGATCACCTTCAACCTGAGCATTGGCGCGCTGCCCGCCGGTGCGGCGAGGTCCACGAAGAGAGACGCGGCGCTCCATCACCTGGCGTCCATGACGCAGTGCGCGACGTGGGCGTGGACCGACGGCTCGTCGAGCGGCGGGATCCTCCGCGGGGGGGCTGGCGCCCTCATCGTCGGAGCTGATGACAGCCGCACCGAGCTCCGTGTCCCAGCGGGCACACTCTGCTCCAGCTTTCGAGCGGAGATGGTCGCCCTGCAGGTGACGCTGGACCACATCCTGGAACACCAGCGGGACGCACCAGAACCAGTCGTTATATGTACCGACTCGCTGTCGGCGATAGCGGCGCTGAGAGAGGGTCCGTCGGCACAGCGCTCGGCCAGAGGCGCTGCCATATGGAAGCAGCTACTGGAGCTCACCGCCGGAGACCGAACGGTCACCCTCCAGTGGGTTCCATCCCACTGCGGGATCCCAGAGAACGAGTCCGCCGACGCCCTGGCAAACGAGGCTGCGACGCTGGCACAAGAAGACGTCATGCTCGATGTAGACACCATCTACCGAGCGGCAGTCCGCACCGCCAGAGACCGCGCCGCAAGGGACAGGCCGACATACCCGGACCCCGACCGCAAAGCCGCAACGGGGTGGTACAGAGAGCTTATGGGTGCAAGATGGCCACCACCTCTCACCAACATGGACAGGACGACAGCAGTAGACGTCCACCAGATCCGCACTGGGCGCTGGAGCGGCTCGGCGCAGTTTCTCCATTCCATCGGACGAAACCCATCTGCGGACTGCCCACAGTGCAGGAACCTCGACTGCCCTGCAGCTCGTTGCCCGCTGTGCGGCGAGCAAGCCGACACACCTCGACACATCCTGCTGACCTGCCCGGGACTGATGGGGGTTCGCCTCAGAATCCCGGCGGTCGGCAACATACTGCCGACGGTGGAGGAGGTCAGGCGCGGCGACACGGTGGCGGCCCTGGTGGCCGCCTTCAGGGCCCTCCAGAGCTGAAGCTACACCGCGGCTCTGCCGCGGATGGAGGGAAAACCAACAACAACAACAACAACAGCACGCGATGACCCCCCCCCCTTTCCGCCACACCCTCCCTAGCCGCCCGTCACGTACCAACTGCACGAGGAACTCTGTCTTGATGCGCCGCGAGCTCTCGTGTTCCGTCTCGGAGCGTTGAGAGAGGAGAGAGTCGATCTCGTCGATAAACACCACTGCCGGCTGGTGGCATCTGCAGGGACAGGAGCGATGAGATGAAAATAAACCGGGATACGCTCATGACATAGATCGTTGACGACGAGACGAGATTGTGTGAAAATGGATGTTTTACCATAGAAAACGATTTGCAATACACTGTTCATACATGAACTGGGGACCAATTTATTGGTATTGTATAACAACAGCGAAGAGTCAGCCTAGCTACTTAAAGGTAGACTGCCACCTTTTTTCCACAAAACGGTTTTCACTAGAGCTGAGCCACCTATGTCCCAGACTGAAGTCGGTTTTCCGAAATTCGAACCCGTTTGCGAGAAATCGGAGACAAAGTTCAGTTTGATGCCATTTTTTTAGTCCAAGAAAACCGACATCTCTACTGTTTATCGATAACTTTGAAACATGAATTTTCTTATCTTTTGGTAAATATATGTCAAAACTTTGATTGTTTCGAGATCAGAGAAGAATTTTGAAGTGTCAAAATAAAAGTTAAACTTGTATATTCAGTAGTTCATTTTTTCCAAAAAAGTGTGGGAAATGGGGTTTAACATGGGCCAGACCCTGTAGGGATCATCTATGCGATTTGTCATTTCATATTGTCATTTTCATTTATATTGTCACCGCTTTATTAATCAATCTGTTACCTGTTGTCAATTGCGCGTCAAGTTTGTTTGCCATTTGTAAACCGGCCTGCCGCTGGCCTCAACCTTCCTAGTAACCGCTGTGCCATACGCTATAGAACGTGTCGTACGGCGGCACCCCTGAGGCGGCCGCTGCCCGTACGTTTAGGAGCCCATTGTCGTGACGTCATGACTGTGAGCAAAGGTCGCGGTAGGGGCTCTCCCGGCAGCCGGACGGTGACTCATACGTTAAGCTTGTCTCTCGCCGCGCCTGCGGGCATATTGGTAGTACTAGGGACGGCCAGCATGTGACCGCGGTTTTCGGCGACATTGTCAATTCGTTCCTCGACTCTGCTGTTCGCTGCAAGACCAATACACATAGAAAACGGCTCGGGCATTTGGAGAAGAGCGGCTACTCTGAGGCGAGGGAAGAACACGGAGATTCACACAAACGACCTGACTAGGTTGCACCGGCCACAGTCGACCGAGGTGGGCTTCCGCGCCCTTAAAGACGCCTCTGACTGGCCATTGCGCTGACACCCTGGTCGGACCACGGTCATTGATCGGACCCTGCCACTGGTTCGTGCTCAGGCTGCCTTAGCGGGTAGACCTGCTCGACCAGACGCCCCACTGGTGGGCGAGTGCTCGGTTCCGACTTTCACCGCCGGTCCAACAGCGTTCTGCTGGTTCCCGCCGATCCGGTTACGACACCGCAAGTGCCGTACCGACTCGGGCGTCCCAGGTGGGCGTAACGGTTACCACACCAGTTCGCGACCCCCAGGCTCTGTCAGCCGTCGTACGGCTCTCGGACGGACACTCTAATAGATCAGCCACAGATCAATAGGTTGTCACAGACCGTCCGTCCAGCCACGCGCTACCCACAGCGCAGTACGACAATTGGTGACCCCGACGTGATCTCCGTTGTTCAACCTTAGCCTCTCGTCATGCCGGCGGACAGCGCACAGTCCGGCGCCGCAGCTCAAGACCCAGCCAGCGTTCCAGCTTCAGCCTCCGAGTCAACTCATCGGCCCATGGCTAGCTTCCGGCTACCACCATACTCTCCGGAAGAGCCCGACCTGTGGCTACTGCAGGTGCAGTGCGCTTTCGACGTCAGCGGGGTCGACTCCGACGAGCTGAGGTTTAAGCTCCTCGTCGCAAACCTCCCCGCCAACATCGCCGTCCAGGTCAAGGACGTCATCCGGTCATCTCGGTCTTTCGACGTGCTGTGCGCGGCGCTCCAAGCCCGCCTGGCACAGTCACGCGCCGACCGACTACAAGCCCTGCTCGGCCGCCAGCAGCTCGGCGATCAGAAGCCGACGGCGCTGTTGCGCTCAATGCGCAACGAGCTAGCCGCAGCCGGGGACGCCCCGGTTGATACGGAGCTTTTCCGTACCCTCTTTCAACAACGGCTACCGCAGCCCGTCCGTGCTGCCCTCGCCCTCCTGCCAGCCGACAGCACGCTTGACGCACTGGCAGAAGCGGCCGACCGGTATCTGGAAGCTAGCGGACCGGACCCACGGCTATCAGCGATCGCGGCACAGCCGTACACACAGCCGGCACCGCCCATCGCTGCTGCAGTGACAGCCCCAGCGCCAGTTGCAACCCCTGCGCTGGACACCGTCATCGCCTCCCTGGTCGCTAAGATGGAGCGCCTGGAGGCCAGTAACCGACGACTTGAGGACGCCGTGCGGCGCGACCGCAGCCGTTCCCGGCCGCGCCAGGCGTCTCGCCAGTCACGCCGCCCGTCACCGGCTCGTCCTTCAACGCCGCCGCACGACGACACGCTGTGTTGGTACCACCAGCGATTCGGCGCCCAAGCGCGCCGATGCAAGTTGCCGTGCTCCTGGATCGCCTCGGAAAACTGAGGCGCCCCGTGCTAATGGCGCAAAGCACGGGCGCCCCTCCTGCCGCGCCACTACTCTTCGTGAGGGACACGGAGACGGACCGGCAATTTCTAGTCGACACCGGGGCGCAGGTCAGCGTGCTGCCTCGCCGCTGCCTGCCCAACGGGTCTACGCTGACCCCTGCTCCTGTCGGCCAGCAGCTCGTCGCGGCAAACGGCTCACCGATCGCGGTGCACGGCACCTGCCTGCTGGACGTCACCTTGAGTCAGCAGCACCGCCTGAAACATCGATTCTTCGTCACTGACGTCACCACACCCATCTTGGGCACCGACTTCCTGGCCGCACATCACCTCGTCGTGGACGTTGCCAACCAGCGTCTCCTGCGGGACGGCACCGTCTGCGCCAGCGCCGAGCGGTCAAGGCTGTGCTCCATCGGAGTGCGTCTCGTTCGGGAGCAGGCTGCTGCTCGCTTCGCAGCTGTCCTCGCCCGGTACCCGGATGTGACCTCACCAAAACCTGGACCAACACCGGTGAAGCACAACGTGACGCACCACATCGTCACCAAGGGTCCACCGGTGTACCAGCGGCCACGACGCCTCCCGCCGGAGCGCCTTCAAATCGCACGTGCTGAGTTCAACAAGATGCTCCAGCAAGGCATCATTCGACCGTCGAGCAGCAGCTGGACAACTCCACTCCACATGGTGCCAAAGAAGAGACCCGGCGAGTGGCGTCCTTGCGGCGACTACAGAGCGCTGAACGCCCGCACCGTACCAGACCGCTACCCGCTGCCGTACCTGCGGGACTTTTCAGCCGACCTGCATGGGTGCACCGTCTTCAGCACCATTGACTTGGTGAAGGCTTACCACCAGATCCCGGTGGAACCTGCCGACGTCCCCAAGACAGCCATCACGACACCATTCGGCCTCTACGAATGCGTTCGGATGCCGTTCGGCCTCAGAAACGCCAGACAGACCTTCCAGCGTTTCATGGATGAGGTCCTCCGCGGCATACCGGGCTGCTTCGTCTACCTGGACGACATTCTGCTGGCCAGCCCGACTGCCGAACACCACCTGCAGCTCCTGGACCAAGTGCTTCAGCGCCTCAACACCTACGGCGTCGTCGTCAACAGGCACAAGTGCGTCCTGGGACAGGAGCAGGTGGTGTTCCTCGGCCACTCGGTAGACGCCGACGGCGTCCGCCCGCTGCCTGGACGAGTCGAGGCCATCAAAGACTTCCCGGAACCGACCACTCAGTCCCAGCTACGGAGGTTCCTGGGGATGGTAGCCTACTACCACCGCTTCATCCCCCAGGCAGCCGAGCTCCTGCAGCCTCTGCACGCCTTAATCACCCACAAGGCAAAACGCTCGAGAGCGCCTGTCACGTGGACAGACTCGGCGCGGCAGCGTTTCAAGAACGTCAAGGACGCCCTGGCCACGGCGACACATCTCGCACACCAAGTCCCGGACGCGCCGCTCGCCCTCTTCGTCGACGCCTCGGACTGCGGAGTGGGCGCCGTCCTCCAGCAGCACGTCGCCGGCGAGTGGCAGCCCCTCGCTTTCTTCTCGAAAACGCTCCAACCTGCGGAGAAGAAATACAGCACGTTCGGGCGCGAGCTGCTCGCTATCTACCTGGCCGTCCGGCACTTCAAGCACGCCATCGAAGGACGGTCAGCAATCATTTTCACAGACCACCGACCACTGGTAACGGCCATCGGCTCCTCGTCCGACCGCTACTCGCCACGAGAGGTCCGCCACCTGGACTACATCGGCCAGTTCGTGTCTGACATCCGCCATGTGCCTGGCAAGGACAACGTGGTCGCCGACACGCTGTCACGCACGGTCTCGATGGTGGCCCAGCCGCGACCCCCGCTCGCCGACTTCACCGCCATCGCCAAGGCCCAGTCCGAAGACGGCTCGCTGGAAGACCTCGAGGCCTCAGACACCTCACTGCGCCTGCGCCACATCCCGGTCGGCGATGGGCTCCGTCTGCTCTGCGACGAGTCCACCGGATCGCCTCGGCCGGTCCTCCCAGTGGCTCTGCGCCGGCCCTTCGCCAAGGCTCTGCACGACCTGTCGCACCCTGGCGTCGAGGCCACCGTCAAGCTCATCTCTAAGCGGTTCGTCTGGCCCGGTATGGATCGCGACGTGCGCCGCTGGACCCGAACTTGCCTCGCCTGTCAGCGCTGCAAAATCGGCCGGCACACCAAGTCTGACGTCGGCACCTTCCAGCCACCTCAGCAACGCTTCGACCACGTCCACGTGGACCTCGTCGGCCCGATGCCTCCGTCAAGAGGGCACTCGTACCTCCTGACGTGCGTCGACCGGTTCACTCGGTGGCCAGAAGTCATCCCTCTGCCGGACATCCGCACCACCACGGTCGCCCGCGCCTTCCTCGAGCACTGGGTCGCCCGATTCGGCGTTCCGTCCATCATCACGACGGACCGAGGCGCCCAGTTCGAGTCGGCCCTCTGGTCGGAGCTACAGCGATTCCTGGGCTGCCAGCGAACTCGGACGACGTCCTACCACCCGGCCTGCAACGGTATGGTGGAACGCCTGCATCGCCAGCTGAAGGCCAGCCTCCGTGCACACCAGGCTACGTCATGGACGGACGTGCTGCCGCTGGTGCTCCTGGGCATACGCTCCACCATCAAGGCGGACCTGCAGGCGACGTCAGCCGAGCTGGTGTACGGCTCCTCACTGCGGCTTCCCGGCGAGTTCTTCATCAGCAGCCAAGCCTCAGCAGCATCACCGGCCGGTTTCGTACAAGACCTGAAGCGCGCCATGTCTCAGGTGCGGCCGACACTCCCACGTCCGGTCCAGCGCACCACGTACGTCCCGACGGCACTCCAGACGGCGACACACGTCTTCGTGCGCAGGGACTGTCACCGCTACCCGCTGGACGCTCCATACGACGGACCGTTCCCGGTTACCGAAAGGACCACCAAAACCATCACCATCGACCGTCGACAGAAAAAGGAAGTCATCAGCATCGACCGGTGTAAGGCCGCCTTCCTGGAGACGCCAGACGAATCCGGTCATCGACAGTCTGACCTGCCGACTGTGCAGCCGCACGGTACTCAGTCCAGCGGCCCGCCGGCCGCGCCACCGCTCAGCAATGAGCCCAGCGGCCCGGAGCTTCTGATCTACGGTGACGCACCAACTCGCCCTGCAGCCGTCGCTCGGGCTGACGCTGCACTATTGCAGCCTCAGCCGATACTACGGACGACCCGCTCCGGCCGCGTCATACGACCTCCGGTGAGATATCGCCATGTCACTTTTGTCCGCGACATGTCTGGCGAGGGGGTACTGTAGGGATCATCTATGCGATTTGTCATTTCATATTGTCATTTTCATTTATATTGTCACCGCTTTATTAATCAATCTGTTACCTGTTGTCAATTGCGCGTCAAGTTTGTTTGCCATTTGTAAACCGGCCTGCCGCTGGCCTCAACCTTCCTAGTAACCGCTGTGCCATACGCTATAGAACGTGTCGTACGGCGGCACCCCTGAGGCGGCCGCTGCCCGTACGTTTAGGAGCCCATTGTCGTGACGTCATGACTGTGAGCAAAGGTCGCGGTAGGGGCTCTCCCGGCAGCCGGACGGTGACTCATACGTTAAGCTTGTCTCTCGCCGCGCCTGCGGGCATATTGGTAGTACTAGGGACGGCCAGCATGTGACCGCGGTTTTCGGCGACATTGTCAATTCGTTCCTCGACTCTGCTGTTCGCTGCAAGACCAATACACATAGAAAACGGCTCGGGCATTTGGAGAAGAGCGGCTACTCTGAGGCGAGGGAAGAACACGGAGATTCACACAAACGACCTGACTAGGTTGCACCGGCCACAGTCGACCGAGGTGGGCTTCCGCGCCCTTAAAGACGCCTCTGACTGGCCATTGCGCTGACACCCTGGTCGGACCACGGTCATTGATCGGACCCTGCCACTGGTTCGTGCTCAGGCTGCCTTAGCGGGTAGACCTGCTCGACCAGACGCCCCACTGGTGGGCGAGTGCTCGGTTCCGACTTTCACCGCCGGTCCAACAGCGTTCTGCTGGTTCCCGCCGATCCGGTTACGACACCGCAAGTGCCGTACCGACTCGGGCGTCCCAGGTGGGCGTAACGGTTACCACACCAGTTCGCGACCCCCAGGCTCTGTCAGCCGTCGTACGGCTCTCGGACGGACACTCTAATAGATCAGCCACAGATCAATAGGTTGTCACAGACCGTCCGTCCAGCCACGCGCTACCCACAGCGCAGTACGACAACCCATTCCAAATGAGCCATGATTTTTAAATGTTTTACGAACTTAAATGCAAAATAAATTAAACGTGGCCAATTTCTTATGAAATCATATATTAGTAAATCATAAAATACCTTACTTTTTCAAATAAAATGTAATAATCTTATGACCTTGAAGTCTAGTGATGTGTAAACATTGTCGCTAGACATTAACCGATTGATAATTGTATGATAATCGACAATTTTTTTCGCGATTCACGTGATGATACTTTGTCAGGTGAATTCTAAAATTTTGTTTTGTCCAGGGAATAAATCATAGGCCGATCTGAGAAAACTTTTTGAAGGTGGCAGTCTTCCTTTAAGAGTCAAATGGCATGCAACCAGAGCTTACATAATATACGGCAATAATAGGATGTCGGCGAGCCTGCGAGGGACGGAGTTCTTAAAGTTACGAAGTACCGTTTTGATGTAGTCGTTAAGAACTCATTACTGAGAGTGAGTGCCGTGATCAGCAGATAAATAAGTACCCTCATATCCGGCTTACCGGTCACACTAAGGTCGTTACAATCACGCGAACAAAATCAATACAAGTGACAGATCTACGCTCCCTCAGCCATAGTTCATACCGGTTACCCGTCGTATCTAGGTGACGAGTAACGACCGTATCGTACACGATCGACTTACAACTATAAGTTACGGTGTGGACCGTGTGACTCGAGCCGACCGCACTGAGCCGTACCAATCACACTGGCGGCGAGCCTGAGCGCAAACACGCGCTGACCGGTACAAACAGTCGACGGCGGCCGTCTGCACACAGCTCGCTCGGCAACAGACCTGTTCGGCCCGACACATTCCGTGCAGTTCTAGCCCACAACGCGTCTGACCTACGACACAGCCGCTATAGTCCGTAAAGCCCGCCGACGGAGACAGTCTAACCTACAGCCCTCACAGTTCACCAGTCCGGACAGTCCATCCAATACATGTCAAACAGCGCCCACAATACACAGCCAGACAGCGTCCCAGACATCCACAGCGTCCCCGGGCTCACCTGGCGACAGCGAACAGCGCGCGGACCATCTTCTCCCCCTCGCCCACCCACTTGGAGGTGAGCGACGAGGCGCTGATGCTGAAGAATGTCGACCGGGACTGGCTGGCGATACATTTACCTGGCGACATCGGTAAGCGATGAGTTCATCGGGAATCAGGCACGAGAAACGTTAAAATGCAGAAGACAAGTAATGTGCGGTAAAAAATATGACATGAGAGCGAGGCATAGTATAATTGAGAGATTACAATATTAATGGCGTGCATGTCACCATCCTATTCAGGAGAATCCCATAGGAGATTGGAGAGTCGCCCTAAAATAGCTTACACTCAGCGGAGACTCACCGATTAGCGTTTTGCCAGTACCGGGAGGGCCGAACAAAAGCAGGCCCTTGGGCAGGCCGCGCAGCCCGGTGAAAATGTCCGGCCGCAGTAGAGGCCAGATCACCATCTCCTGATAGGGGGAGAGCGAAGGACGGGGAGAGGTGAGAGCCGTTTCAGACCGGTCTCAAAACGGTGTCAAAACGGTCAGAACGACGGGGCAGACGAGTCAGGAGACGGGCAACGTCAGGTCGTCAACGGAACGTCGGGAGTGAGCCGCGGTTGCTGCTGCAGGGAATTGAGGTGGTAACATAGCTAATCTTTTCCGAATTATGAATCGATTTTGTGTCTTGTAGGCTGTAGCACACTTACCACTATCTGCCACAAGTTCCGTGTATAAGAATGACCGTGGACATCAAATGGTTTTTCATTGCCACTGCATAATTCACTGCATCCCAAACTGACTTCCCACTACAAACTCAGAGCGCAGGGAAGCCAAACAACCCCACACCCCGCCTCCCTGCCATTCTGCACTCGCCCACGTAGCTTCATCCACCACCACGAACCTTGATGGTGTTTTTGGCGAACTCCAGCCCGGCTATGTCGTCCCAGGTGACGGGCGGACCGCGGTCCATGATTTCTGAGGTTATGAGTTCTACCATACGCGGCTCGATGTTCTTGAGCCGCTCGTCCAGGAGGACCTCTGCGCCCGCCGCGCCGCCCCCGCCTCCGTGATCAGCCGCTGATGACGCCATGCCGGCTGATGGACGACTGTGGAGAGAGGCAGGGGTTCGTCATTTGGGCCGGTGACGGGTGGGACGGTGTCTGGTATAACCGAACTAAGAGAAAATACGGCGTCTAGGCCAGGTGCTGCCCGGCAATGTTTTAACTATGAATTTACGACCATTACGACAGGAGTTACGGCAAACAGTGCTGAACAGTGAACACTTCATTAACAGCTTAAGTTAAATAAATAAATAAAGAAAATAAATCAAAATACAAATAATAATTAACTAAATTAATAAATAAATCAATATGAACACGACCGTATCTCTCTTTCGCTTTGTAGCTATAGTATGTGACTGCCCATCCCAATATCGCTCTCATACCTCGTTGTATCGCTCTCCTCGCTGACTAACCCAGTAACCCACTACCGTCAGCCTCCTCGTTGACTAACCCAGTAACCCACTGCCGTCAGCCCTCATTCCCTCCCTCACGCCATTCCGATTCCCAAACTCACTTGTCCTCGTCAGCGTCCCTGACGGGCGGCACGAAGCGTCCGGCCGGGCCGCGGCGGGTGCCCAGACTGCCGCGCCGCTGTCCCCCGTACAGGGAGCTGGTGACGCGCTTCTCGGCCTGCTCAGCCGTGTAGCCGCGGCTCTTCAGCTGGTTCAGCAGCTGACGAAGGTGGTAGTGGAGTGGGGGCGTTACGACAAGCAGGAATGTCGACAATGATACAACGACAATACGACAATGGTACTACGTCAACTAGCAACGGCAACTGTGCGACTTGCGACAGCCAAGAACTGCGGCGACACGGCAGCAGCCTTTAGGAATAACGCCACGCAGCCTGAACATGCCACAAACTCATTATCAATTGAGGCACTGGATGCTTGGCCATAAATCTTACATCTCATGTTAAAAAGACATTTATATGACGTTAACATGATACCAACTGCACTACAGCGAGTGAGCGATTCCCCAACTCTACCAAAGTGCTTACATGCTCTTCCTTGGCTGTTCTGAAGGAGGACACTGGCGGCGGCGCCGGATCCTGGTTCTCCTCTGCTTCGTCGTCGCCCCAGCCGCCGCGTGCTCTTTTACCGTAACCTGGACGGAACGCCACAAACAACGTCGAAGGAAATACATCGGCTGATCTAATAAAATAAATTCAATAGCGTTGATATGATAGTGTCAGTTTTTTGGTATGACGATAAAATATAAATAACGTAAAGAAACGGCCCACACTTTTAACCGACAAAAGGCAATTAAACTGCAATGTGACAAAAGAGCTAAGAGTGAAACAGATGGTGACCGCTCACCTCTGCCCCTGGCGGCTCGCCCGCGCGGGTAGCGGTCAGCATCGGTCGGCGGCTCCACTCTGCCCTGCCGCGAGCCGGGAGCCATCATGGACCTGACCTGGGCCGCCACATTGTACCCGGCTGACCCTCCACCAGCCGCCGGGAACAGCGGAGCCGAGGGTCGCACTGGCTGGAACCGGTACCTTCCGGCCCCCGGGGCGGGGGCGGGGGCTGGGGCCGGGACCGGGACAGCCGGCTCGGCAGGGGCAGCTGCGCGGAACAGAGGGGCGGGCCGCGGCAGACTGGCCGGTCCGGTAGCGGCGGCAGAGACTCCCGCTGACCGCAGAGGACCGAAGTCGGTACTCCGCGCCGCCACCGCGGCAGCAGATGATGGGGTGTTCAGCCTCTCGGCCACCGCCTCCCGGAGCTGGCCCAGATCTGATGGCTCCGGGGCTGAACTGGCTGGTAGCAGCTTACACAGAAAATCCTCAGTGATGCCTGCTGTCCAAGTGGAACTTTCTGGTGGATACATAATGGTGGTGTTGTTAAGCAGCACACTGAGCCTTATTCATTGAAAGTATACCAGATTCTTCAATGATGCTTGTAGCTGTTGTAAATGCGGAGATGTTATTACATGTTAAGTGATCTACAGTTGGGTTAAAGCATTTCAATGGCTGACTTAATATGCAATTTAAGAAAATAATATTGGATCTTATGCAGTGTTAAAAAGCAATTCAGTCTACAATAAGTTGATAAGCCAATACAAAAATACAAAATGGCCCCCATCAGCTGCTTAACTAATATAAACTCCACAAATTTTCACAATGAGCTAGAACACTCACCATTCTTGGCTGACTTGCAAAGAGCAAGACAGTCATCTGCATAATTATTGATACCATCAATATCATCTACAATTGATGCATACTTTGACAGGTGTTCTGCCAGAATCAGGCCACTGATTTCATCCCTCCTGAAAAAACATGAATACATTAGACATCATTAAATTTATGTTCAGCTTAAAAAACAGCATTGCTTTTAACAATTTGTCATTGGAATACCTTACCCTTCCATTGAGGCCATGTTGATTCCTGAGGTTGCAATAATACTTCTCATTATGTCAGCTTTGTCAAATTGGTCATCAGTTTTTGATAATTCATTCATCAATATTGCTCTGATCTCCATCCAATCTTCAGCTTCCATGACTGGGCTTTGTATTCCTGTTCTGTAAAAAAAAGAGCATTTTGTTGATAAATTGTGAATGGTGATCAAGGCCATGATCAAGGCAAGACTGCAAAGGCAGGAAGAGACATTTGGAACTTGGAAGGCAACAGTAATCTACCTACTAGTATGAGTAAGGTAGGCATCTAACCCAATGATTTTAGGTTTTAGATAGGTGCAAGGTTAATAGGTAACATGACATCAGACATGGCATCAGCATACCTTGCTGGAAGATAACCAGCCAACTGCACGTAATCTTCCAGCGAGTCTGTCTCTATGCATGTATCTATGCATTGCATGTCATGACTCATGCAAGTCTGTAAGTCTCTATGCATGTCAGTCAGCCAGTTTCCAGGAAAATAATTGGAAAAAGCATAATGATAACCTGACAAGTTAATGAGCCAATTTGAATTTCATACTTTTCCAAAAATAAAAATCACATTGTAATACAAAAATGACAGTGCATTGGCAAATACCTACTGTGAAATCGTCCTTCTGCACCATAGCCCGGGGTGCATTCCGGTCTAGGGGTAGGTGATAGGTCCTTGCCTTTAGATTCAGCCATCCTGGTTCAATTCCCGAAAAATGCACATTACACGTGGGCTGACGTGGCAATGCCGCTATACCTACCCAGCTGCTCGGAACAGGGTGAGTTCTGGCTCGGAACAGGGTGAGTTCTGGTTCCAGTTAGCACCTGCACTTGATCCACTGGATATGATGCTTAACCCAAAACCAACTAACCAACCATCCTAGGCTGCAAACTGAACAAAAGCCATAATATATTTACCTTTTCACAAATCATGCGTCGATATCAACCTAGAAGTTCAGGTTCAAGTTGAAGTTCAAGTTTGAGTTATGCCCGCTATAGCCCCTATAGGTTGTTTGTCACACGATTTCGTTGAAGTGCATGTACAGTCAGATGTACAGTCTGTATATCTATGAATTGGAGCCTGAAAAAACAAGATATACAAGAATCGATGCAGTATATACCTAAAAAAAAAAAAACAACACAAAAATCGAGCACGTGGAGAAAAACATGGAAAAATAACTGTTTTCAAAACACCCGCCGGTGGCGCCACCAGTGCGGCGCTAAGCCCAAGGCCATTTATTCCCAGTGCCTACCTGCCACAGCCTAAAATTGAAAAAGTGTTGCACTCAATTATTTCTTTTTACTTTTTATCAATACCTTTAGAAGTCCTACAAATTTGTACTTTGAAATGTGCACTTTTTGGTTTTGTAATTTGCTCATAAGCTTGATATGTTTCAAACACAACGCAGCCGTTTCAAATGAAATTTGTTCTCTTTTTCAAACATTTCCTGCTATCAGCTGCAATTTCAGCTATTTGTGTCACGTCCTCTTTGCTGATTCGTCACTTAGAAAGAAACTGCTGCCATTATTCTTTGGCGAATACAGCTACAAAATACCGGAAGTACTCAGCGGCGGTGAGGGATTTGTTTTTAACGGCTCTACTGTTGCTGTGGACCCTTTTCATATCGGGTAGCTTTAATGGCTTTAATTTTGTGTCGGATATTGTTGGGCATGGGCTGATATTAGGTTGTTGGGTATTTTTGCAATTATTACCCGAGCACTAACACCGTATAATAGACAATCACATGCCGTAGGCCTATGTGTCTGAACTCTGATTTCAATCTTTTTGGTTGGTTAGGTGGGTAAGTAGGTAACCTAATAGGTTAAAGGAAATAGTTCACTTTTTAACATGGGTTTGGAACTGGAATAGCAGTTCCGTAGCCTGGGCTGAGACGAGCATAAATCAGGAGCTTTTACAGCCCAACGATCACCCTAGGCAAAGATATTCTATTTCTCGTCCCGAAAAAGGTGTCTTGCGTTGAGGATGTGTGCCTTGCATATATTTGCATCCAGTATGAAAAGAGCATGGGTACCGAAAATTCTTCAGAAACTAGAGAAATAATCTACGAGAACTCTAGAGAAATTCTCGTACTGATCAATAAGGACATTCAGCAGCAGCAGATCGCCCAAATGCCGGTGGCCGCCATAATTTCTCTAGTTTCTGAAGAATTTTCGGGACCCATGCTCTTTTCATACTGGATCGCCTGTGCCTTACAGAAACTGAAAAGTTCTTCTTATATCAAAATATAGAAAATAATCTTTTGTTATAAATAGGTTTTATTTTCTTTGCTGATCATTTTGAACATAAAAAATCATAAATCCATTGCAAAAAAATAATTTCGTGAAAGTGAACTATTTCCTTTAAGTAGGTATGGTACCTACCTGCTCTATTTGAATGTGGAATGCGGCAACGAGCTAGATAAGGTTTGGTCTTTCCATTTTGCACCAAAAATTTAAAATGCAGTTACACCAGAACAAGAAGCTGTGCCAAAATTTCACCGCAAGGCGCAATGCTCCTGCTATTGTAGATTGTAGGCAGTAACATAGATTTATTTTATTTTTTGTTTTTATATTTTTCTAGTCTGGCAATATTGGATGGGCACTCACATCTCAATCTCCTCCATCCATTTAGTTACTGGTAAGATAGGTACCCATGCTTCACCAATATTATCTTCAATTCATTGGATCTTCCTCATCCTGGACATGCTCACCCAGACCTGAATCAATGTGACAACAGGGATCTCCCTGTTGCAGGACATGCTGCTTCTATGCATTACCACTTCAGTCATAAGCAAACTTGCCAAATAAGTTTTTGTTTCTTTAGAAATTGATAGCCAAAATGTCATACCTGGTAGGTGCTGGTAGATAGGAGGGTGCTGTCAAACAGCTCTGGCACAAACAACACTAGGCTGGTCAAGCCACCATTGTGACCATTCACCGGCAGCTTTGATTCCTGCTTGCGTGACTCAGAAGTATTAAAGTGTCTCATCATTGAGGATTGTGTACAATCCTCAATGGAATATTTTGCAATCTGAAATAGATGCAATGCAGACATGCTAATACCTAAGCTGCCTAAGTCCTAATTATAGCTGCAGTACCTAAGCTGTCTAAATCTGGATCAGTCTTCCCTATTGACAAGTCCTGTGCTTGTTTTACACAACTGACTGAACTGTTCTGTAGTTCAGTGTAGATTTTCTGCTTATTGATATTTGAATGTGCATTGGTTGGATATTTTCCCTTTCAGGCTAATGTCAATCACATACTTGCAAGAATAGCAGTGTGCCCATCACCAGCATCATGGATGGGATCAGTATGAGGTAGGTCCTTTTCCAATTCTGCTCATTCATATCTTCATCAGAGATAACATTTTGATAGGGTTATGATTAAAAGCTGGTCTTTGATCTTTTTGGTGGTTTATGTAAATTTGATAATGCATGTTTTCTGCCTGCTATGAAAATATTAATTACCTACATATTTATGTTTGCATTACCATTTGTTTGCACTTGATCATAAATCTTTGTTTTATGTGTATTATTGTTTCTTTTTATTAGACAAGCTGGTAATCAATCTTACTTAGTGCTTACAACCTGCACTGAATGCATCAGGTAGAATGTATACCTGTATAAGTAGGTATGTGCAATGAGACTGACCAACCAGTGTTTTTTTCAGCAATGAGTCCCTGTGGTCAATCCTCTCTGGGACAAGTGTGGTGTACTCCAATACCATTGTGGGAAAGCAGCTTGAGGAAGGCAAAGACAAGTTCTCGAAAGGCATCCTCTATTATGCTAAGTCATCTGATGATGACAAGGGAAAGACATCAAAAACATCATCAACAGGTTCTTCTGCTCAGAAGGACTTCTTGTCAAAGATTATGAAGCTAATTGTAAGTACTTATGCTTTCAATTCATAGCTGAATGTGTTAAAACTTTACATGCTACCCTCTTTAAGTAAGCCACCAATCAGTGTGACATTCTTTTGTTCCAATGCTCCCGCTGTTTATAGGATGCTTCACTGACTAGAACTATTTTGCACCTGATAAACTGGCTTGTGCAAACTGTGCCAACCTACTCTTCTGCTAAGATGAAATCGTTCTTGTGTGTTTTGTTTGTGCTACTGCCATCACATTTCTCCTGTTATCTGACCACTTCTGCTAACAGGACATCCTCAAACCTGTCGCGTTCAGACACGCCATCCTTCTGACCTCTTGCCGCCGTCGTCAGGACGTGTCTGAGCCGGTGGCCGAGGAGCTGCTGTACAGCTACCTGGTCTCCGAGTTCCGCGGCACGTCGCGCTCTCTATCGGCGCTGCTCTCGTCGGAGCGACACCAGCAGGCGCTGCTGGTCAGCGTCTGGCGCTTCTACCACACGGAGCGACTTTACCTGCTCATGGGACTGCGGCAGATCATCGCGCGTCACGCCGACACCGATCACCCGTACAAGGTGCGGCTCAGGCTGTGGCATTCGTACGGGAAAACGCTGTGATATGTGAAGTACGGTTGTGTTTTTATCAGATGCACGATGTTCATGTTCATGAGCTCAAAGTGGTGGTGAGTTTCGTTAACACTATTCTGCCGTCTGACGCGACCATTTCTTCCTGTTCACAGCCTCTGTTTGCCAAGTTCCTGAATTATGTGATCGATAAAGACGGCCGTCTGCTGCCGTCACTACTGGACCAGCTGGAGTGGTGTGTGTCGGCCCAGCCGCCCAGCTGGAGGCACAACGAAGCGCTCAGCTCCCCAGCCGGCCGTGACAGCTGGGTCAGCAGCGCGCTCAAAGAGCAGGCCGAGCTGCTGCAGTGCGTGCTGACCTACTGCCAGCAGCGCCAGCCGCTCAACCGCAGCCAGCTGCTGAGACTCGTCAACCTGTTCACGGTCAGTGCGGGGTCCGGAGCTGAGGGGATTTATAGAGGCGTGCTCTGTATGTGGGAAGGCTGCACAGTGTGTCTGTAAGATGGTGGATATCCGTCTGCGTTCGATGTAATCTAGTGTGCGGAATTATTGCGGTAATTCGTGGCGATATTACCGGCAGCGTTCATAGCTGACACTGAAGTGTGATCGCTCGCATGACATGGTGGTATCGTCAAGCGTATTATTAGGTAGGTAGTGTTTTCAGCTCACAGCGCCCCGTCCCCGTGTGGTGGCCTTCTGACCATTCTGCCCCACTGCCCGGCAGCGTCACGCGCTGGGCCACAGCCCGCCGTACGCGCAGCTGCTCACAGAGCAGCACGCCGAGCTACTGCGCTCCGTCACCCTACTCCAGACCACCGTCTGCCTGCACGGCATGCAACTGGGCCAGCTGGCCGACCAAGTCAGGTATGGGACTGATCCACCCCACCGCACCGACGTTGTGTGGGGTCATCAGGGTAGGTAAGGGCTAAGGTAATTTTGTCAGGACCTTGGCATGGTTGCAGCCGCTACTCTTTGCTTGCCTCCTCATTACTTTATCAGTCCCTACTATCTTTCATTTCGTATCAAGCCCACGCCAGTTCGCTGCTGGTATTTGAGTTGATTCTGTGCGTCACACGGTGTCTAGTCGGTCTTAAAATGTTAGTTTGTTATCGAATAACGCGGTATCACCCTGCGGTTCCAAACCCTCCCATCTATCTCCTCACCCCAGCTATCCGTCTATCTATCCCCCTTCCCCAGCGCCTGTATGACTGCTCCTCGCTACTCCGCAGGGGCTCTCCATTACTGGAGACTCACCTGTTATCCACCGAGATGGCACGTGCCGAGCTGGACGCTGCGCTGCCGCTGGGAGCTCGACCAGAGCACGGTCCGCTGCTGCTCGCCTGGCTGCTGGTGCTGCACGTGACGGCGAACGGAGCGGCAGGCAGCGAGGGGCGCCGCGCGGCACTCACCCGCCGCTGCCGCCAGCTGAACGTCCTGGGCTACATACGACAGATGCTGACGGAGGCCGAGGTCTTCCAGAACAGGGTGAGGAGAGGAAAGAGCCGGTGTTGTGACGTGATGTGGACTGAATCTATTGGTTGTCGGGATGAGTGTTTGTGAGAGAACACCCAGATCAATCTATGGATGTAATCTGAGTTTATCTCGAATCGAGGAACATGTCTGACCTGAACATTTTCGGACTGTGAACGAGCCGCCGTGGGGACACTCCTTGTTTGCTTTTGCCGCATTGTGACGTAACTCAGCAGGACAAATCTTTCCATGGACCTTGGTGCACGATAGGTATGTGACCAACCCTTTCTACTATTTGCAGACCTCGATGATCGGCAAGATTGCCCGGGCAACGATCTACAACGTCGTGGATCTACTCCTGCTCTGCTTCGACGCTACGAACCTGGGTGACGAAAAGGACATGGTGACGGTAAGTAGAAAATCGCACACGATGGTTGAAAGCTGCAACCCTTCTAATGCATTGTCATATTACATGTCATAGCGAATACAAAATTTCGCATTTTATTCAGCCCATTTTACACGCCTTCATTATTTTCGAAACGGGGTCTGACTGGTGCTTTACGTCCGTTCGTCTCCCGCTGTCGGCGTGGTTCATCCCCCGGGGACAGTATGTCTCCTCCCCCGCACCTGACGCCGAGCCCTCTGCCGCCAGATCTGCGCCGAAGTTCTATCGGTGCCGCACCTGGCCGCCGATTTCTGGGCGGCCGACTCCGACTCGTGTGGCCTCCGTCTGCTGTTTGACGACGTGGCGGCACGGTTCCCGGCGGACGCGGCGCCGCTCCTGGAGCTCTGCGCCGGCCTGGCCCGCGCCGGTGTCTCCAGCCTCACGGAGGTGAGCTTACTGCCCTGGGCTTTCTGTAGGCGGAGGTGGGTGGGTTAGCATGATGAAATGGTTTGTTGGTGGGATTGGTTGTAGTGAAAGTGATGATACTGATGTATGGGCCCAAATTTTTGGTAATTGATAAACTGGGGTTGTATTTCAATAGCTTTTGCATCATAAGGTGTGTCCGGTACTGGCGTGAAGATGTTTACTTTCATTGTGGTTATCTCATAAGCAGTAACGTCATTATAACTAGTTATGATAAACATCACCTACACCCTTGTGTAATTCTATTCCAGGTGGTGTCGTACCTGCAGCGTGTTCCCTGTTTCGCCGAGCCGGCGGCGGCCGTACCCGGCGGCTCGGCGGCCGTCTCGCAGGGAGGCCGACTGTGGAGTCTGCGCGCTCCGCGCCGGCCCGAGCAGCGGCTGCCGCAGCTGCTGATACCGGCCGGTACAGAGGGCCGCCTGCTGGAGGGCCGCCACCACCTGGTCAGCTGGTCGGTGGCCCACTCCGGCTGGCAGCGGGCGCTCATCTTCCTGGATGATCTGCACCAGGAGGTGACTGCGGCTGAGAGACCGCGGCTGGTCGGGTAGGGGGGGGGGGGGCGCTGGGGAACCGTGGCTCGTAGGGGGAAGGAAAGTGTGTGTGGGGGGGGGGGGGGGAGTCCGCCCGCTGGTCGGCGTAAAACTCGCTAGGCTATCAATTAGGTCCTCTGTGTGGAGTGAGTTTTCATTTCACCAAGTCAGGACCTGAAAAACCATTGCATCATCTCTCCTTGCAACGGAATAAGGCGCGATCTAACCATCTGAATAGTCCCGTGACGTCCGGTCTGTCTTCTCACGGTCACAGGGTCAGCTGGGCGAGCAGCACGTGCAGCCGGAGACGCTGGAGCGCGCCGGCGCCGTGGCCTGTCTGCTGCGAGCGGCCATGGAGACGGGCTCTCCGGACCTGCTCCGTCAGCTGCGGCCGCATATCGACCTCCTGTTCCCCATTCTGGAGCGGTAGGTCACCGGTGCGCTGGGCGGGATGTGCAAAGGGAAGAGAGGGAGACAGAGGGAGTGGGTGAGAGGTAGAGGGATAGGATCTGCGAGTTAGTTTCAATTTGTTCACTGTTCAGTGTTAGTTCGGTGGTAGTGATCAGTAATGTCCTAACTATCTGCGTGACGCAACTACACGGTGATCCTTGCTTGAGCTCCATGATGTACAGCCCTCAACCCCGACAGGTTTCAGACACCGTTACCTTGTTATTAGAATCACTCACTCAGCGGTTAACGTAAGGACCCGCCTCCGTCGTGCATCCACTGACCTAGCCGTCTTACCGTTCAGCTATTACCGGTGGGGTTCTCCGTCTCAATTGTCAGTCCACTGACCCAACCCCCTGTTCTATTACAGTCACTACCGCTGGGGCTCGCCGCCCCAGTCTTTCGTCCACCACGCGGCAGAGGTGCTGGCGCTGTACGCCCGCGTCGAGCCGCACTACGTTTGGGAGCACATGGACAGAAACAGGTACACACGCTACAGAAACAGGTCACGTCAATGTCACCATTCTCCATCTGCTGAGCTGCGCACTAATGCTTTCGAAAAAAGTTGTCACATTGTTAAAGGTTTGCCAGAATGTGGTATTTTCTGTCCTCCTCCCGGCTTATGCATGATTGCAGGCTACAAGTTCCTCGGGCATTGAGCTAGGAAACATCATTTAGTAGGCGACATGTCACCTAAGCTTTTTTAAGACATGTTCGCGGATGTGGTAAGTGTTGTCACACGGCGGCTGTGGTAGTGACTGGCCAATTGCCATCCTGAGTTGGCCGTCGGACGTGCCGTCTGACCCGGTGTTGTGTTTCAGGCTCCTGCCGCGGGGCGGCGCTGGCGGCGACCCGGTGCTCTCGGTAGAGGCCGGCCGGCTCGGTGAGCTGATCGAGGCTCACGAGTGTGTCCAGCGGAAGTACCCGCTGACCCAGGCCTTCCTACACCTGCTGCACAACACCGTGCAGGTAGGCTGCCTGTGTGGGCTGGTCTGGAGCGAGACGGGGGGGGGGGGGATGGGCAGGTCGGGTGATAAGGGTCAATTGAAAATTCGGAACTTCTTGCCGCTGGTGAACTCCTCTAGGGTTACCCGCAGGTATTGAAAAAATGTTAATAAGTTCGATATTAGGCAATTTTGAAGGCATTTTTATTGACGCAATTGTCACTGCTTTACCGCCAAAAGTGGCCCATAATTATCTGCTTGGCTGACCGGTCCCCGTGCCCCGTTTGCAGGCGGCGCCGGACCCGCCGCCGGCCGCCCTGGTGCCGGCCGTAGCGTTCGTGCTCCGGGACGTGTTCCCTGCGCACGTGCGCTGGCAGTACGCGCGGCGCGGCGACGAGACGGCGCTGGGCCGAGCCTGTCTGCGCCTGCTGGACGCTCTGCTGCCGCTGGACGGTCCGGGGCCGCTGCGGCAAATGGTGGCGCGCGCACTGACTGACGGACCGCCGGCCGAGACGCTGCTGGCTCTGGTGGTGCACGGTGAGCGTGGAGGGGAGAGAGGGGACGAGGGCATCTGGGTCAGGAGAGCTACGGGAGAACTAGAACAGCTTGCAGGATGGCAGCTGTTACCCTGCTAGTGATTGTTTGACTATATGATCTAACTGGAGGGGTCGTATGATCTTTAACTACGTAGCCTGTTTTGTCATTAAGCCAGCTAGATGTAGTCTTTACATGATCTTTATTTCTCGCTGTGCTAATTTCAGCTCGTTATTCTTATTGAGAAACACGTCATGAATATCGTGCTCCTAATATATTTTGTACGTGCCCCCGTGCTCGTTTCAGGCGAGGCCCGTATCGTGATGCTGCTGGAGGAGCAGACCCACTGGGACACCGGCGCCGGATTGGAGTTTATCCGGCTGATCCACGTGGCGCTCTCTGTGCTGAACAGGTGAGTGGTGCCGACCGACGACAGTCCGTGCCTGTCCGGGCTAGGTAATGTGTACCTTGGGACAGACGGTCAGTCGGTCAGTAATTCAAAATCAGCTGTGATCTGTTAGGCTTTCTACCCCGTCTAACAGCGCCATGTGCCTGCCTCTCTCCTCTCAGGCTGTTGGTGTTGCGGTGTCGCGAGGACCTCCCCCAGCAGCAGCAGCAGCAGCAGCAGGCCAGCCTGCTGGAGACCCTGCTGACCAGCCAGCCGGTGGGCCGCGGCCAGCTACGCCCGGTGCTGGCCATCGCCCAGTACCTGTTCCACCGACACAACCCGCACCTGCCCACACTGGCCATCCGGCTGCTGCTTCGACTGGCCAAGGTACATAGGTGTCCTTCGGTCGCTGACCGATAGTCAGCTCCACTGTGTCAGCCGGGCCGGACTTTTCTGCTCCGCTCTCTGTCACTGGCCACTCTCTTTTCAATAACCTTTAGTGCGATTTTCCAGGTGCCATTTATACAGACTTTTCGGCAGCGTTCCAAAGTGTCAACCATCGGCTTCTGATTCACAAACTCAATCAATCATACCACCTAAAACAGTCAGCGCTCAAATGGTTTGCCTCATATCTCTCCGGAAGGCGCCAGAGAGTTGTGGTGAACGGCAAAACGTCAGATTGAATCTCTGTCACTTCCGGCGTGCCCGAAGGGTCACTTTTGGCTCCTTTGGCATTCGCTCTTTACATTAACGACCTTCCGGACAACCTGACCTCGAACTGTCTATTGTACGCTGACGACCTCAAAGTATATCGTAAAATCAAAGACTCATCTGACGCGCGGTTCCTGCAGGACGACCTGTGTCGCCTTCAGGAGTGGTGCGTCACATGGGTCTTAGCTCTAAATCCGTCTAAATGCAAGGCCTTCACCACCACTCTTCGGCGCCAGCCGATTCAAGTGAAATATAGCATCGGAGGCACCAGTCTCGAGTCCGTCAAGAGTATTCGTGATCTCGGCATTGTTCTGGACTCAAAATTGACCTTTTCGGACCATATAAACCATATCGCTGCCCGAGCCAACCGGTCTCTCGGGCTTCTCATTCGCTCATTTCAAACCGGATCTAAAAAGCCAAATTCAATACGAAATCTCTGTTGGCTGCGTACTGCGCAAACGTACGTTCTGTCCTTGAGTTCGGAACGGTCATTTGGGCAGGCGCAGCCACTTCCCACACAGTTCGCGTCGATCGGATTCAGCACAAGTTTCTCCTCTGGTTAAACCACCACTCCAACAATCCTTGCCCATCACTTACCTATCCATATTTATCCAAGCATTTCCGTGTCCCGTTCCTTTCCTCTCGAAGAGCCCAACACGACCCCCTGTTCCTAAAGGGTCTGTTCTCTGAGAAACTGAACTCTGAGATACTCTTATCCCGATTCCCCTTACGCGTGCCTATCCGACCGACGCGCACTGCAGCACTGTTTGCTGAGAGTCGCGCCCGAATCAGCACGGTCCAGAACGGGTTGGTCTGTCGTGTCGCGAGAGAGACGAACTCATTCCTCGCTCATTCCAAAGACGACTTTTTCACGACCAGCTTTTTTGCGTACAAAGCTCATGTCATCAAATACGTTGCGAACTTACCACCACCTCCGGGCCACTAGTCACTGTTGGTAGGTGATTCTTATTGATTTTATATTTTTATGATTTTAAATATGTCTATTTTTAATGTTTTCTTATATTTTTCATTTCACTTTATACATTTTTACGTGTTTTTAAAGTACCTATACATCGTTTATCTCTCAGTGTTCATATTTACTGTTTGTTCAGCTATTCTGTTTACCTTGTATCATGATTTCTTTCCCACCTTACATGGGATTTTAAAACTCATGCTCAGTGGTCGTTCACACATTTTTTTCTTCATATTTTCACTTCATTGCCTATTTCATTGTATTGTTCATTGTTTTCTATTTTAGTTAAATGTGTATCTGCGTTTTTATCCGGGCGTGTGTATGCTGCCTGTGTGTACCATATTTATTGTTTTTAATCTTGTGACTCCGTCTTTTAGTGGGTCAAGTACCTGTTGACGGTCTGTTGAATAAATACAAAAAAAAAAATACAAATACTAAATATTAAAAGTCATTTTCCGTTGTCTGTCAAATAATGCATAATTTCGAGTGGTCATGCCATCGCAGCATGTGTGCCGTCCCGTGTACTATTTTCTCCCCTCTCCCTACCGCATTGTCTAATAACTTCCCCTCGTATGTCTCTTTTCTTCATTTGAAGTCTCCGCTCCTCTCTCGGTGTCCAGGTGTTCCCGATGTCGCTGCTGGCCTCGTTCGGCCAGGACTCGGACGTCATCTGCAGCGTCATCCTGCGCCGGCTGAGAGCCGAGACCGAGGACGCCAGTCTGAAGGTGGCCGTGCTCGACTTCCTGGCGACGTGCGTCACTTCACAGCCGGGACTGCTGCAGCGCCTGCTCGGTAGGTGGCAGCACTAGGATGATACCGGGAGAGAATATGGACTGGTGGGGCGGGGATGGTGGAGGTTCGGGGCGAGGGTCGGGGTGGTGTTATGTTAGTGTAAAGTGAGAGTGGTGTTGACTGATAAGTGGAATGTGCAGTGTGAGCGGTGAAGTGTGAGCGGTGTTGACTGAAAATGCGTGTACATGTATGTAGTATGAATCGTGGGAGATTAGACGTTGACTGATGAGTTGAATGTGATGTGTGATAGACTAATTATTGACTAATGTGTAAAGTATGCTAGGAAATGTGTCAACTCGGATGAGTGCTGAATGTGATTTTGACCGTGATGCCCGTGGCAGGTGTCGGGACGGTGGAGTCCGAGGATGGGACCAAGAAAAAGGCCGAGCAGGATGATGAGGGCGGCTTCCTCGAGGAACTACTCGCCATCTTCGAAGAACACCGCAAGGTAAGTCGAGTTTTATGGTTGTTGTTTGATTGTATGAACATGGCAGCTCTCTTAGCTTCTTATCCGGCTTCTTTGAAATGTTTTAGATATAGATTAATGTTATGCAATGTATCATGTATATTGTGTGATAAGTGTTTTGCTAGTGTTTGCCTCAGTTCCATGATAGTCTACTCTGACAGAGGGTCAGTGTCTTGTGCGTCAATATGCTCATACTGTGCTCATGTCTGTGTCTTTTTCTGATCTGTTCTATGTCTGATTGTGTCTATGTCCCCCCGTTTGCCGCAGTCGGAGCGCTGGGAGTCGCCGCTGCTGCTGGCCGCCGCCGCGCTCGTGCACGCTCTGTGGCTGGGCCAGTGCGGCGCCGCGCTCACCCACCTCACGGCCTCGGAGCGGTTCTGGTCGGACCTGGTGGCGCCGCTGCTGGCGGCCGGCGGTGCGCGGCCGCCGCCGCTGGCGCTCTCGGCCCACCTGCTCCGCACCCTGGCACTCCAGCTGTACTATGCGCGGAAGCCCGACCCGCGACTGGGAACACTGCTGGGCAAGGCGACGGAGGACCGCGGACGGCTGCTCAACGCCTGGTCAAAGGTACGGCGCAGGGCTGGGAGACGTAGAGGGGTATGGCACGGGGTGGACAGCATGGAGCGACACGGGACTGGGTCTCAAGCCAGTGACACAGTGAAACGTCACTGCTCAGTGCTCACTCTGTCCAGAGCGAGGCAAGGCAGATTAATTATAGGCTCCTACTAACTTGTCTGATAGCGTGACATAACCGCTGTGGCGCGCTAGAAACATATAAGATTCCACATATTGTATGTCTTTCCTCATTTCCTGATGTACCTCACGGTCGCCCCTGTTTTTCAGCTGGTGTGTGACGCCGCCGGCGGTCTGAGCGGGGACCTGAACTCGTCGCTGGTGCTGCTGGACGGCGGGGAGCTGGCCGGCGGCTCCTCCTCTGAGGAGCGGCAGGAGGACGGCGCCAGCCTGCTGCTGGCCTGGCGCGACTGGTGCCTGGTGGCCGCCACTCCAGGTCAGTCGGCTGGTCTGCTAGGGGGGGGGGGGGGGGGGGGTTCTGAAGGGATGACGCGGGTGTCGGGAGATGGGGTTGGAGATGGGTGGCTCAATGTGATTAAAGCCTTGTCATGTGTCTCGCTAGGTGAAATGCTGCCATCTCACCAAATAAATGAGGTGCTCTGTTGGATGTAGAAAGATGGCATCTGTCTTCTTTAACCAGCACCGGATACCTAATATCCGGGCTATCCAGACATCAAACTCTCAATATCCGACTGCCAGTCGTTAATGCTCCGTATCTTTCCGTCTTAAACAGGGAGTTCGGTGTCGATCTCGGCTGAGAGCCAGCAGTGTCTGCTAATCGACCTGCTGACCTCCCTGGAGCACCAGCTGAGCAGCGGCGCCGGCCGGCCGCGACTGGTCAACATCCTAGCCGAGCTGGTCATGATGCTGACGGCGCGCTGGAACCAGTGAGTGGTGGGCGGGGGATGGTGAACTGACGGCGCGCTGGAACCAGTGAGTGGTGGGCGGGGGATGGTGACAGCTCGCAGGGGGTTGGTGACGGCCCGCTGAATCCAGTGAGTAGCGTGGTTGTGGTGTTTGGGCCTGGCCGGGGGGGGGGGGGAGGGGGCAGTGACAGCCCGCTGGAACTATTGAGTGGTGGGCGGGTATTGTTTTAAGGACAGGCCGGGATGGGAAGGTCGAGGCATGGGTGTAGCGTTGCTGGAACGTTCCCATTTTGCGCCGTTTTTGGGCAGGGAATTTATCGCCGTCATCGACTTAGCTGTCTTTGACCGATGCTTCTGCAATCTACATTGTATCTGTTTCTGTCCGCCAGTAACTCTCGCTGAATTTCCGACAGCTGTTCTCCCCGACAGTAACTATCCCTGATTAGTGCCTACCGTCCCGTGTCTCCCCTTATCAGGCGGTGCGGCGACGCGCAGCTCAGAGAGCGCGTCTGGTCTCTTCTGGAGGCGTGCAGCGGCCAGTTTGACGAGCTCCCGGTGCGCGCCCGCTGTGCCATCCTGACCACCGCCCTGCGGACGCAGCAGCACGGCCGTGCCGCCGCCGACTCGGGTGAGCCGGGGAGCCATTGAAGGGAGGGAGGAAGGGAGGGAAGTAGGGGCTGGTGGGTACGACAGGTGCTCTTATTGTAATTGTTTGGTGAAGCTGTTGAACGAAAAGGAAGTATGGTGAGTTGAGGGAAGATAAGACATGCTGGAATAATTGATTTGATCCTGCTGGTTTGTACTGGCTATTTTCATGTCGTTCGTGAACTAACATTGGTTACTTTTGCATTTGTTTCGTCAGTTTGTGCTGTCCATTAGTCGGTCATGACTGCGGTGTAACTCCTGCAGACCTGTGGTCAGCTGACAGCTGTGATCGGTGGCAACTGACCGGCGATCTCTGGTGCCGCAGACGCGGCCGGCTGTGTGCGCTGCCTGCCGCCTTGCTGCGACATGCTGGAGCGCGCGCTGGTGCAGTGTGAGCCGGCTGAGGCGGCGGCCGGCTCGGAGCGGCTGGCCGGTCTGGCGGCGCTGCTGCTGCGCCGACTGCTGGTGGCCCCGGCGGCGCGCCGGCTGCTGACCGGCCGGCCCACGCTGACGGCTGTGCTGTCGGCGCTGGGCCGCCGGCTGCGCCAGGGCCGCCAGCCGCGGCTGTGCCAGCACCTGCTGCAGGCGGCGCTGGCGGCTGTCAGTGAGGAGCGCGCCGCTATGGAGGCCGTCGGCCTGGGCCTGGCCGGAGAGCTGGGCCTGCCGCTGGCCGAGCTGCGACACCGGGTGAGTCGGACGGGACGAGAGGGATGGACAATGGCGGGGTGTCGGGTGGTCACTGGTCAGTGTGTGCGTTTTTTTTTTTTTTTTGGTTAGACATGCGCTCCGTGTGAGTGTGTGTATGTACTGTGTAGACCGCTTCTGATGTAAATGTATTTCTTCCCTTATCATTTCAACAAAGAGCAAACGGTTAGCCAAACACGTGGTCCGTGGTCGGATATTATTCCAAAATAAACAAAGCCCTATAGGCCGACACCAGCACACGACGTATGCTTATCATATGCCACTGAAGCCTGCTTGACAAGTCGAGACCACTGACGGATCACCGGCTACGTGCGCTGATGGTATCCCCGTTCCTCGAAGTTGGCGGCATTGGCTGTGCTTCCTGCCTGGCTGACTGTCCTGTGTAGGGTACTTCAGCGGCATGACAGCATAGCACGGCGTTTTTCGCATGCGATAAACACAATCGACTTGTACTTCTGTTCATTCTAAGCGGGATAAGGCTACTGCTCGCCGCTTAGAGCACCTGGCGCCGGCCTTGCGTCCCTCAGGCTTCCAGTGAGCCGTCATGTAAGTAGCTCTGTACGATCGGCTTCGGCGTGAAACCACGTCTCATCAGCTCTGCCAGTTCCTCGGGCGGTCGCGCTGCCGTCAGGTAGTAGGCCCAGTAGCACACGTTGAACAGCAGGAAGGCGGCCGGGTACAGTACTATCGACATCGACTCGAACACGTCAGCCCGGTGGTGCCAGCGCTCCTCCTGCGACTCGGGCTGCTGGGGCTCGGACGGAGCCTGCGCCACGTCCGCGGCCGGCTCGGCGGCGAAGTTGACGCCGAGTCCGGCAGTGCTGCGCTGTTCCGACGAGCGCGAGCGCAGGATGGAGCGCACACGGCTACCCGTAGCCGTCACGTCCGGTCGGCTGGCCACGTCGAAGAACTCTGAGGGCGCCGTGGAGGCGCCAACCTGCTCGTCCTCGTCACCACCGCCGAAGAAGTCGGCAAACACACGCCTGTTCTCCACGAGCGCCACAGAGACGGGCGTCAGGAAGCCGAGCTTCTGCCTTTTGTACGACTGTGAGACGACAAACAGCAGTCGAATGTCTACCAGACAGTCGACGACGGCGGCAAACACGAACGCCAGACAGACGAACATCCAGACGTCGACAGCCTTCAGGTAGGAGGTGGACGGCGAGTGCACGCCGACCAGCGAGAACAGAGCGGCCAGCGTCAGCATCGTGGTGATGGTGAGAATGATGCGGCCCTGTGCGTACGACGGCGGAATGATGAACGTCAGCCACGAAATGATGACGAACAGCACCGTAGGGAAGTAGATCTGCAGCAGGTAGAACGGCAGCTTACGTGAGAAAATCAGCACCACTCCCAGCTGGGAGAAGTTTCCCGTCGAGTATTCGACGTGATGGATGTCGAGAACGCGCACGCTGAATGTGAACTGGTCCAGACTGTAGGCTTTCTGGACGCCGATCGGCCGCTTTCTGGCCCACACTAGCGTTTGGGAGTCCTCGGTGAGTCGCCAGCTTTCTAGATAGACCGGACAGTACTGAATATCCATCGGGAAATTGTGGAACGTCATAGAGCACGACAGCGTGAAAACTCCGAACATGGTGAACTTGATACGACCCTTGTCGTTCATTCCAAATGTCTGCGGTTTCATCAGGATCTCAGGCTTGTAGATTTCCTGTATGCCATGGATGAACGTATCGGGTAGCCACACCTGGTGGACCATTTCGTCTGGATCATACTTTGCTGTCTGGTTGTTTATAATCGTAACGTTTGGACATCCGTCGTCAAACTCTGGTGGGAGGCTGAGACGTTTGTCTGTCCAGTATTGTCGCACTATCATGAGCATCCGAATGCTGCCTACTTCTTCGTCGATCTTCTTGATCTGCAGAAGGTCCAATTTATTGATAACCGTGACGCTACACTCTTCCAGTTGTATCTCGTCCGTAAAATTGGCGCAATCCACCTTACTTCCGTTGGTCTTTGTTACGCTGGGTGGAAGAAGCCGATTGTAATGGTGTGACTGTGGCTGTCTTTTGGTGCATTGAATGTGTTTCATAGTCGCGGGGTCCATTGCATCGTCGACGAAGAACGGAATTTTGGGAGCTTCCGTGGCGTTTGTCGTCGTCGGGGCACCGGTAGTCGTCTCGACTGTGGCATTCGCCTCATCCTGGCAGACGCATGTATCAAACTTCACGGCAATCGTTATCAAGATCAACAATTTACTGACAAAGTTTTTAAGTGAATTGTTCCGTTTCATATCCCTTTTTAGAAAAGAATAGATGGCGTCAAGAATAAGCTGCTGTCCGAGACTCAACCAACCTTGGCATAATAATTTCCAGCAATATTCACCAACGTTTTTGCTGAAAGTCACTGAAATAATATTTAGTCTGAATGCTGCATTGATAGGTTCTTCATATTTATGATCAAATCATTCCACCTGCTTCGAGAAACAGCTATCAATAAATATTACGTTCTTTTTCGCTTTTCACATTTTGGCTAATATTTTCATATTTTGTCAATACCTTGTGTTTTGGCTCGTGCATTTATTAGTCGCATTCTTTTGAGATACACCTGTCGTCCAAAGCGGCGGTCAGATCCAAGTCAGATCAGCCTTAATCATTTGGTGGATCTCAGCTATACGCAGACGCCGTCAAAGATCGGCGATCTCCAACTTTTCCATGCTTTTGCTTGAGAGGGTGCGGCTGGAAGGAAGCTAAAGACACTGTCCGTACAGGGACGAACTTTTACTGCAAGCCCTTAAAACGGACAAACTTTAGCATGGAAGTTGCCACAATAGTGCATTGTTTGCAAAGCCAACGTTTGTTGCTGGCATACCAGCTGGAGTTTGCCCGATGGCGTTCGACTGAATTCGGAAAACAATTTGAGACCGATTGTTATTGGAAGTGAAGCCCCAGGAACTGTAATCGTAAATCTCTTTTAATCCTTTGAAGTAGACGCAAAGATTACGCGTCGGATGCGGAATAAGCCACACATGTTATCGAACCGTTCTTATGCTAAGCATGCTTAGGCATATGGCTATTGTGTAATTCACAAGTGTTTGGTTGCTAGAAAGCATTTTTAGTTTAATATTCTCTAAAAGTATTGCTTGCTGACAAATTTGTCGCTTTGCAAAGATGAATGGTACTACTGCAGAGAGCATTTTGGCTAAGATGATATCCGGTTATTAAATGTTCATGACATAATTATTCATTTAAACATTTTAGCTTTTATAAGAAGCCAGCTAAACCTAATAACAACTCAGAAGTACAGCCCTCTGCAAACTGCGTGGTAGGTATTCTTTTTTTCGATAAAACCGAGAATAACGCGCATACTATGATATCAGTCTCTCGGGATTTGTAACAGTAAGAAGCGCGAGACTTCGCACCTTAGATTTGGCCTATCATCCTTTTCATTTTCCATCCAGTTTGGCAACAAAACCTAAAAGTTTATATTTGTCTCGAAAACAAACTTTGCATTTTGCTGCCTCCCTAGGCGTAAACTTTGTTTAGTGATGAAGCCAATCGAAGGAGTGAAGCACGGCCCATTTATTTGCGATGAGTTTCGACTAACTGATAGCATAGCCTTTGAGTGATTATCGGTTTTGTCGAAAAAAAAGAATACCTACCACGCAGTCTGCTGAGGGCTGTACGTACCTCTTTTCTTACTTGAGTCTTTTTTCTTCTTGAAAACATGAACATTTTGTCTGCTTTCATCCGTACAATCTGTTGTGGATTTTGCTCCAATCCTTTACTTGGAACCTTTCTTCTACCAGTCCACCTGTCAGTTCTCCGTTGCGTTTGACGTATGTGACACACTGTCGACAGCTGGGTACCGATGTCTCGGACGACTGGCGCGCGGTCTGGGTGCTCACCATCCACCTGTGGACCCACCTGCTGCGGTCCCAGAGGCACTTCTTCGTCACAGACGCCATCGACTTCGCCGCCGTGCACTGCGCGACACTGTGCGCCTCCATATCTCAGGTGAGTGCACAATGTTCTTACATATCACATTAACAACACTGTGCGCCTCCATATCTCAGGTGAGAGCTTACATATCACATTAACAACACTCTGCGCATTCATATCTCAGGCAAGATCAATGTCATCGTCCATATCAAAGGTAAGGGCACTACATCTCCATATAACTATCAGCTAAACGCACTGTGCGTCTCCGTGTCTGAGGTACGATCACTTTACGCCTGGACCATTGTGCGCCAATATGATGTTAATTATGTGTGACAGGTAAAGTTACTGCTCGAATGCTATTTCTTGTGTCTTTCCCTGACCTGTATTCGTTTCAAACGGTAAGGTCACGCCGTTCCTTTTTACAACAGAAGTTGATATGGTGTCTGTCTTTAAAGCTGACTAGAGGATCAATGTGCGTATATTTTACGCCAGCAATCATTAGTGTATATTTTGGTTTTGACTCCCCGCATTTATTACAAATAATCGTAACTCAGGGCCTCTCGCCACGGAACATTGGTATCGGCCCACGGAAGAACCCGCTGCGTTAATCGGGCCGATATTTCTCTGTCAGGCTCGTCCAAGCGTGATGTCTTACGGCAATAACGGGGCGAACGACTGTCCAGAGCTGCCATAAAGCAGCGAAATGTGCCGCCGGCGTCTCTGTGGGCAGGGACACCCGCCGCACGATCCCCACATGGCGCGCTGTTTTATAACTGTAATCGCGGCGCGCCAGTGGGCGTGCGGCGGACCTGAAAAGTTTGGTGGTTAATCGGAGTGGCCAGTCTTTGTGTACAGCTGCTACGCACTGATGTCGGGTTAAGTTTGTTCCGAGGTTAATTGCAACTTAGTGTGATGCTTTACAGTGTTGCCTAGGTTGTTGATCTGGGTAATTGTAACCTAGTGTGATCTTTTACAGTATGGCTCAGGTTGTTGATCTGGCTGCAATGCGTATGTTTCCGCAACTATAGCTGCGGAGCAGACTGTCATGCGTTTTACGGTGTTTATTGATGTCCACATATCGGGGACCAGACTGCTGTGTATTTGCCGTTAACCGGTAACGTTTCCACAGGTAATTGTGGACCCGACTGTTCCATACGTTTTTCCGATGGTTTTGCGTCGTTTGGCAGATACGAACCCCACTGCTGTACTCGTATGTATTGACCGTTGTTTGTTATGTCTTTGGCAGTTACGCACCCGACTGCAGCCGTCTGACCTGGAGGAGACGGAGGCCGCCGTCAGTTTCGTGGCCGGTCTGATGAGCTTCAGCGCCCAGTGGCGGCAGCGGCACCGGCACTCTTACGACACGCTTCTGGTGAGTGGGATGGCACCGGACAAGGCCCATCTATTGAATCTGACCGCTGACGGCAAGTCCAGGAGATCTTCTCAGTGTAGTATTGTTGTCATTTGATTCACCACTAGCCCTCGCTTTTAGCCCAAACACCTGATCAACCTCGTCTTGTGCTGGAACCCGACGATTATAATTGTTTGCTTTTCTCTATCGGTGATATGACTGCCGTACCGTTGTTACCTGCCGCCCTGTGTAACCCTCTCCTCCCCGTCTGTGTGCTCTGCGCGCCAGTCGTGGCTGAAGGGCTGCGTGGGCGTGTGCTTCTGGTACCTGTGCCGAGGCCGGATCGTGGCGCTGCTCCTCGAGCGGCCGCACACGCTCGCTGACCGGGAGGAGCTGCACAGAGTGCGGCGGCTGAGCAGCACTGAGCCCGAGCCGGAGCGGCCGCCGCCGCAGGTCACCGCCGTCCAGAACAGGTCAGTCAGCAGTTCACCGCCGTCCAGAACAGGTCAGTCAGCAGACTCACCGACGTCCAGAACAGGTCAGTCAGCAGGTCACAGGTCACCGCCGTCCAGAACAGGTCAGTGACGCAGGTCACCGCCGTCCAGAACAGGTCAGTCAGCAGATCACCGACGTCCTGAACAGGTCAGTGACGCAGGTCACCGCCGTCCAGAACAGGTCAGTCAGCAGGTCACCGCCGTCCAGAACAGGTCAGTCAGCAGTCACCGCCGTCCAGAACAGGTCAGTAAAAATGGTTGTCGCCGTTCAGAAAGGTCAGTGACACAGGCCACACGTCAGGTCACCACCCTTCAAAACAGGTCAGTCCACAGGTCACCGCGCCGTGCAGAGCAAAAGCTAAATTCGCCTCACATATGCAGGCGGATTTCACGCACCATCATGCTCCCAGCTGGAACCATTTTCTTACACATGCCAGTATATTATAGAACGGGATGCCTGACAGGACATAGCGGGTAAGACATATCGTTTCGCACGTCATTGCTGTGAATAGCAGAATGTCACCTGTGATAATGTTTCATTGGAAACGTCGATTGAAAAAGTTGTGTCGATCGTCGTTAAGGTTCTTCGAAGGCGCTGATTCGTAATCATCTTCTGTATGGAGCTGTTTCTATGGATACCGTCATCTGTTATCTGCTCTAATGCTTCTCTCGATCACTGCGATACTTGATCAGTGTCTTTATCGTTATCAATGGCAAAGTAGCTGACTGTTTATTTTTGGTCAGCGTTATCAATGGCAAGGTAGCTGACTGTTTATTGTTGTTCAGAGGGACTCATCTGAGGAACCGAAATCCTACGGCACTTTGCTTACCTTTGTAAATGTATTTATGAATGCCGAATTGTTTGGAATATTATTTTGGCATTGTGGATTCTTATTCACATTTGATATTTCTCTAGGCCTTTATTGTAATGCATTTTGTTCTCATTTAAGCTCAGTTCTCGTTTTGTTGACTCCTTTTTTATGAAAATGTTATGATAAGAACTTTAATTATGGGAAACTGTCAAGCCTGGCCTTTCAATTACCGTTTGGAGCGACCCCTCCGGCTGTCTCACAAGTTACGAGCCGCTTCCCTTTCCTCCCGAACTTTTCCCGAGTGTTTGTTGAATCGCTTGCTGACAGCTCAAAAGGTTGGGGCAGTTTTAATTGCGGCCAGGCAATTTGTAATTTGTGGCGTGGAGTGGCCCAGTTCCTCGGCTGGTTTCATCCTGCGATGGTTTTTGTTGGCCGTGGCTGTGGGTCGGAGGCAGTCAAAACCCATCAAACCAAATTACATTATAGAGTATAGGCTATCAACTAGCGGCCATGTTTCAAGCCGCTGCTCTGTTTTCGTTAGCTGATTGCGTTAAGGCGACGCCATGTTTTGCTTGTTAAACTTTGTGTGCTTGGACAAACTGTTCGAACAAATGCGTTTGAAATAGGATACCGGTCCTGGTCTGTCCACTGTCTCCGGACCAAGCAAGGCTTCATTCGTCGGTGAATTGTGCCCCCACACTCCTGACATGAGCCTCCCTCCCTCGTTCCGACTGGTGCACCTGTCGTCTGTCTGCCTGGTGTCCATACACCCTTGACATCCGCTCCTCTCGTTCATGTTGGTGCGCCTATGCCCTGTTAGCCTGGCGTCCCTACACCCCTGACCCACCCGTCTCTCCCTCCCTTTCACAGACTGGTGCGCCTATCTTTCGTGTGCCTAGTCACTCTACATCCCTGACGTGCGGCCCTCCCCTCCCCTCTCCGACTGGTGCGCCTTTCTTCCGTGCGTCTGGCGTCCCTACACCTCTGACGTTCCCTCCCTCCCCCGCACAGGCTGGTGCGCCTATCTTCGGTGTGCCTGGTGGCGCTGCACGCCCTCTCTCCACCGCTGGCACCTCTGGTCACCGAGGATGGCCTTCATCTGGACGCCTGGGAGCCCCTGGTCGGAACCAGCTTCGCCTCACCGACGCTGGACAAGCCGGGCCCGCCGCCACTCACGTTCGGCACCCTGCTGGCCGGGGTCAATGTCTGCGTGAGACCGCTTACGAAGGTGAGGAGCGGGGTTATGATGGGGCCATGGCCGAGTTCATAAGAGTTAGGGGTATGCTGGGGTCAGCTGGGGTCATGGTTATATCAGAGGCTGTGTTAAGGTTATGGTGAAGGTTATGAGCAGGAGGGAGGTTAGGTCACTGAGCTGGGATCATGATTAGGTCAGAAAGGATCACGATGAGTTCAGATCAGGGCGCGGGGTCCCGACCGAAACCACTTATCGGAAGGGTATTGTGGCTGGGTATTGGGTGGTGCGCTGCTGCGATTGGGTATTGAATATTGTGACGAGGCGAAGGCTGGCTAGGACGGGGGAGTGGGGCGGGGAGCGTGGGAGAGGTTCCGTCGGTTGGCGGCTCATCTGGCGTTCGTTATCGTTTTACGGCTGCTGCGGCCAGCTGCCGTTTTATTATGGCTGTAGACGACGTCTAAAGGAAATTGGCTCTCGATTTTGATAATTTATTATTATGGTCTGGTTATAGACTCAACGGGTAATTTATTATTATTATCTGGAAATAACACCCACGCAACTATTGTCTGAAAAGGGTACACGCTATGTACTGCGAAGCTGCTGAAACCCACTGTAGCCTACCGTAACTGTGCGCCGTGCGACCGCCTTTGTTACCCGCTGAGGCCGTGCGCTGTTTGGTGTTTGACTGGTTCCCGGTGTCGGCAGTCGGACCGGTCGTCACCTGTGGTGGGTGAGGCCCGCCTGGAGCGCCGTCCGCTGCTGGCGCTGCTGCACCAGACGCTGGTGCTGGTGCTGGAGCAGGCGGCGCTGCTGCAGCTCCGGCCGCCGCCGGACGCCGCCGAGCACCCGCTGAACCTGGGGCACCTGAGGGAGGAGGTGGTGAGTACCGCACTGATTGACCCCCACGGCCGAGCACCTCCCCGACCGTAGCACCTCACCCACCCACAGCGACACTGAGCACCTTCTCACCCTGTTCACCCGAGGGATGAGGCGGTAAGTGCCGCTGGTATTCCTCTCCGCCCCTCCCTCTGCCCTCCGTGGCTACCGACGGCGCTCTCCGTCCCCCGTCCCTCTGCCGCGATCCGTTCGCCGCCGGTGGCTGTAATCTGACTCCCGCCGGGCTGTCGGGCCGGCCGGGCGGACGTCTCCGCGGACCGGCCGCCGCCGCCGCCGCCGCAGGGCCTTGTGTTAGTCTGTGTTGACGGTCCGGCCCGGCACACCGGCCGGTGTTTACGCACAACCTCTGATGACAGCGTCTTTGAAGTCGTGATTGCACCGGGCGCCTGTCCCTGAGGCGGTCGGCCCCGGCTGGGCAGATACAGGAGCGCAAGTAGCGGGGGTGGCCGATGTTTGACATCAACTTCATTGTTCATATGCCTTTGATGTGTTGCTTTTACACAGAGATGTAATGTTTTGATCTCCTTTTTTTGTAAAATCAAAAGCCCCTGAAGCATATCTGAATTGAAGTTTGTCTTTACAAGAAATAATCGCAAACACATTAAACTCTGCGCGAAGTCGCGTCGAGTTTAGCAAACTGCGCCTGATACAGCATACAGGGTTTGTTTGCATAAATGCTTGAAAGGTCGGCATAATGTATAACTGCAGGCCAGATGGCTGCAGTTATACAGTGTATAACCCAGACGGCCGCAAAATGTCATCTGGTTGTTTGGTCTGGAATGGAATTTCTTATGCCTGCCACGTATCTGTTGATCGCTGATTTCGTGGTCGCTGTTGCTGTTTCCATAATTCATTTGGTGACAGGTTTTACCTGCTTCTCTTTCTCATTTTTATGAAGTGCAGTGTCCTGAGCAGCACGACCTGTTCAAACTCCTGGTATGAACTGGAGCGGCTTTATCGCCTATTTTTACTGATCGACTGTGGCGATGAGTTTTTGTTTAGCGAAATGACCGTATAAAAAAACACACCTTCGGCGCCTAAGTCTGCCACAAACTACACAGTGTCTCTGCATTAGTCCTATCATCTGGAGAATTCGCTCCCTCTGAAAATATCATAATAGGTCTGGTGATGGTCGGAAGCTATTAACCCCTCCTCGTGCTCTCCCTCCACGGAAGGCAGCTGTCGGAGTGCGGGTATACGATCCGATCGGTGTTGTTGCCGACACAGCAATGGGACGGGAGAGGCATTGATCGGCATCGGTCACACGGGTCCCTCGCGTTGGGCCACCTGATGACCGCCGTCGGAGCCGCGTGCCGGGCCGTGCCGTGCCGTGCCGTACCGTGTCGTACCGTGTCGTACCGTGCCGTACCGTGCCATCTGGCCCTCCGTAGGTACTGTCTGCGAGACTACCTGACAGGCATCGGTTTCGCCGGGTGACAGCGTCACCCGATGACGGGTAGTACGATGCGATATGACGGATGTAGGGAATTCAACGGTAGGGGAAGTGCAGCTGGAGCGAGTCTTGTGAGGAATGCGCTGGTGTTGGAAACTTTCATTATCGTTAGAGTGTCGTTACACGTTTTCCCGGTGGGAGAGTTTGTTTAATGTATGAAGCGTTTGGCGGGCGAATTATTCATGGTGCTGAGTACTTTTGGAAACTGGCAGCACCCGGTGTCGTCTGAATGTCTGTCGAAGTTAATTCTCCGTCCCAAACGGACGACCATTTGGTAGTCGGGAATGGCTACCTTGGGAGAGTTTTGTCTCTGAGGGTCGTCAATTTACGGTGACTAACGGCTCGGCAATCGATCAGCCACCGGCTCTCGGTTCCACTCGGGCTTTTTCTGCCGGATAGGCGGATCGCCCGGCCGCCCCAGTCGCTCCTTTTATTCGAGCCGCGCGATAGCGGATGGGGACCCATGCAACCGTGAGTTTTCCATAAATATCCGTCTGGCTCATTTCCTCTGTGAGTACCAAGTCAGCGGAAAAGGCGCTTTTGACGTGCCCTTGTGTTGAATGATGATAAAAATCTTGAGGCGTAACCCGTGTCGAGCTTTGCTGGTTTCTATCCCCAAAGCACAACGAAAAGGCCTTGGCATGATGATCTTCAGCAATTATATTTTATATTCCATTGCAAATGTATTAAACCGGTTGGGGAAACAATCGACCCATTTCATAGCATACAGCCAGGCAGCCCTGATTCATATAAACATTAATACCTAAGTATAGCGTTAATGCCTAAGTATAAGTTCATCATCATTTGCTACCGCGCTTGTATGCTGTAAGTTCCACACCTACCCATGACCGGCAGTTGTTTTAATTAGTGTGAGTCCTACCTTGGCCGGTGATGCTTGTCATCGCGTGTCGTGCCGTGTCTAGTGCCGGTGTGTGTCGTGTCCTGACGAGTAATGGCGTGCAGTGTCTTGGCATGCGGTTTCGCTCCTCTCCGTGTCCCATTCTGACCAGTCCCACCGTACTATACACTGACATGAGCGGCCCCCCGTCTGTGCTGCAGAAGTCCTTCCTGGACAGTCTGAAGCGGGACCAGCGGCGAAGCCTGTCCCACTCGCCGTCCGCTCGTCAACACCACGAGTCGGGTGGCGCGGACGAGGCCCGCTTCCTCGAGCTGGTGCAGCATCTGGTCAACTCTGTGCTCAAGGGCTGACCTCCGCCCGACTGAGCAGTGAGGCCGGTCACCGCCCACCGACCGGCCGGCCGGGTCAGGGCGGGGAGAAGAGGGAAGAGAACGGCATGAGATGACCCTGGAGAATGCGTCGAGCGGCGTCTGTCTACTCTGAGAAGGGAAAGTCGGCGATAATGGTGATTTTGTACTGTGCTGCGACAATATTGCCCCATGTGTTGATGATGATGAATACATTTGTTACGAACACCACTCGTTCCGTGTGTGCTCGCGGTAACAGACGGTAATTGTGATGGACCGGCGTCCGGACCTCCCAGTACCATGACGCAGGACGCGGCGGTTGCCAGGGTAACCGCGCTGCCGACGGCCGAGATTTGCCGGCCGTCTGTATACACGCCGGGGGCCCATTCGCCGGAACGGGTGGCCAATAGCGCCCGCGGCGCTGCCGGCTGGCCCGTGCGGTGGGCGGATTTACGAGGTGAAAATACGGCCTCTGTGCCACCGGCCGCGCCACAGGGCGGGCATGAATGCCCAGCGCCGGTAGGTCACAGCACAATGGCTGATGTGTTGGCTGTGTTTGGGGGAAAACAGGATTGTATTTTTGTGGTGTACTTTATTGCAGCGTTGTTTATATGGACGGCTTTGCCTTTACAGCGTTTCGCTTGCATGTTTGAGGGTTGCAACTTGCATGTAATATTTGGTGATGCGACGCAACAAGATTTGGACCACAAGGGGCTCGGACACGAGCCGGCGGGTTTCTTTGAAACTTATCAGTCGGTTTTGGCGTCGCTTTGACGATTTTGCCCGTCACATTACCTTCAAGCTTAACTCTCAGACGCCGTAGAGAACACTAGCTTGCGAATTTTACTAAATTCAATTGTTCTTTCCCAAAACATACCCGTAAACATCGAACAATAACGACTGGGTTAATAAACCCGCTCACCTAAACTTGCACTTTAACCCGCGCCCGGCTGGGGGTCCTGGATTTCCACGCCCTGCTGGGGGGGGGGGTGTTTGAACACCCCCCCCCCCCTTGTAACTCGGCTCCTGGGCCACGTAGCGATACGCGGACGGCGGCGTTCGAAAGAGCGTCAAAAATAATGACGAAATCACTTCGGTCAATTTTTTGGTCAGGTCAAAGGTCAGGTCACCAGAGGTCATTGAAGGCAAAATTTCGCCGATTTCCAGGTCGAATGTCGAAAATTTCCAAGAACCCAACGCATAACTCGAGAACCAATAGAGCTAGAGCGCCGCGGAAAAGCGCATTCGATAGCCCTATTATTATATTTTCTGAGTAATTTTCTCAGATTTGACCTAACGTCAACGGTTTTGCCTGCAGGGGGCAAAAATTGCAAAAATAGCCGATTTTTTCGGAAACAGTTTTTCTGCAATAACGTTTGACCCAAGCCTTGTACGAGCTTACTTTTACCAGCATTGTGTTCTTCTCGTCAAGACGCATCGAATGAACTATAAGTTGACCTTGAAAGGTCAACTTGAAAATTTGACCTCAGGTCAAGGTCATGACCTGACCGGAAAGGGTCATGTTGCATATCAGTCGATCCGTATCGTCGAGCTGAACACAGCTAAGGCGTTTTCATCGCTCTAGCATGCTTCTATCAAAAGCTATTTGCGAAAAACTGTTAGATACCATTCGTGACCTAAGATGACCTCAGGGCATAAATAAGGGTCACGGACACCATTTTCATGTTCAGTGTGTCTAAACCACTTGTAATTCGGTGTTTGGGAGTGTTTATAATGTCTTTTGTCCAAAAGAGGCGCATTTCAATTTTCTCCCAAGTCCCATTGACTTATAATGGGGAGGTCGCAAAATTGACCTGACCTTAGGTCATCGATATCAAAATTCTGAGATATGCATTTTGTACATGCTATTGCTCTTAGCAATCGCTGAAAGTTTCAAAGCGATCGGTCACTCGGTGTAGCTATGACAGACATTGAAACTTTTTATGAGGTGAGGTCACTTCAAGTGACCTGGTGACCTGACCTTGAATGACATTGGTCTGAAATTTTCACAACATGTGTAGAATTGATGTGCGATAAGGTATACCAAATTTTTGAGATATTCGCGAAAAACCACAAGGGGGGTGTTCAAACACCCCCCCAGCAGTGCGCGGGTTAACCCTCGCCCGTAAACGGCGATCTGCCACCTTCGCCCATGCAGGGGGGGGGTTGGTGCGACCCCCCTTGGCGTTTGAAAACGGAGCGTCGTAGAGCTTAGCGGAAAAGACCAACGGATTGCTCTCGCCGAGATCTCGCGATTGGTGGTATATTTTTTGGTCCTAGGTCAACATTTGACCTACTTTTGACCGGTCAAAGGTCAAATTTTCGGAAAAATAGACTTTTTTTCAACTTACCGCGGCGATTGCGGCAAAACGGTGGGAGATATCGACTTGAAACCTTCACTATCGTGTTCCTTGATCAATTCTCTATCGTTTGGTATGTATTTCGTTTCCCTAACTCTAAAAATGGCGCGTTGGGAGCGCCGGAAGTCGGCAAGGTCACAGTCGGCGGCAGAAATTCGAAAAATCAAAATTTAAATTTTTGAAATCTGATTGTATTTTTGGATTTGGAAGGTCCATTTGCTCCCTATAGAAGCTAATATTGCTGCATATTCCCATTGAGGTGACAAGAATTAGCAAAATAGTGGTTCGGGCGCTTTTCAAAAAATAGTACCGGACGCTGTTCCTCTTGTGACGTCATAGCTCCGTGACCTGACCTGACCCGGTCAAGTTTCTTATACCATATGATAGCCAATACTTGCCCCAACATGCATGGGAAGTTTCATCACGATCCATCAACCGATGTCCGTACCACCGGCAGGAAACCTCGGGCGTTGGCACTCAGTTTGTGAAAATCCGGCCGGAGGCTGTTCCCTTTGTGACGTCATAACTCCGTGACCTGACATGACCCGGTCAATTTTTTTTATCAAAAGATGCGCAAGGTTTGCCCCATAAGGTACCCAAAATTTGGCGGCGCTGCGCGCCGCCGTTTTTGCACTATTTCCGAAAAACCTCAGGGGGGGTTGCACCAACCCCCCCCCCTACATGGGCGAGGGTTAATGAGCCGACTATCCGACAGCGTTCACCGCCTCGGGCCCAGTTCGAGTCAATTCCGCCTTGGAAGCCTAACTTGTCCCAACTCTGTCGAACAATTGTCGTTCAGTCCGCTCGCTGGGCGCGGCGCGGCGGCAGCTGGTGCTCGACAGCCCAGGTACAGCTATGAGCGCCGCCGCCGCGCCGGGGCAGTGACGACGCCACGACCAACTTGGGCCCGGTCGGCGCCGAATGGGTCGGCTGACGACCGCCGGTGCCGCACCTCGTCTCGCCTGATGGCCGTATACGGGGAGCGGGCGGGACTCGTCATCTCCGGGCGGAGGGGCGCCAGGAACGGAGACGGTGATGGGCAATTGAGACGAGACGTCGGTGGTCTGTGTATGCAGACCGACAGAAGTGTGACCAGCTTGGTGCGGTGCGTGAATGGCCAGACCGTGCTGATTAGACGGTCCTCTTACGTACAGCCCAGGGCACTAAAGAGTGTACAGCCAATAGCCATAGTGTAATAAATAACTTGTTATTTTTTACGTTCTACTCTACTCGCATTTATAACGTACCTAATTTAATAAGTAGTTATTCATTACAATATGATGCCTCCAAGCCATGTGTTGAATGACCATTGACGGGTTTCTTATACTATCCTCGCCCAGTTTTTTCATTGTTCAGATGCTGTGATCAGATATAGTGAATAGTCAGATACACCGAGGATGCCCTACTGTCAGTCCGTGTATAAGTCGGCCAGTTTCACCGTCTGACGTACCTATCTTGGTCTGACCTACGGCACGGCACGCCGCCTAGGCGTTGCTATGGAGACGAGTAAGCTGAACCGTCTCGGTCTCAATCCGTCAGTTGTAAGCCAGTCACGTCGTTCTGCGGTATCCTTGACTGGGACACGTCCACACACGGCACCGCCCTTGGCCGTGGGTCTTTGATCGCCCTCTGTGACGGTCGACAGCTCATCCGTTAGCCATTGTGTGATCTACATGGTGAAGGATTCAGAGCGGCCATCGGCTCATTCGGTGCTGGGCAGTCTACAGCTCTCGTGCGGTCTTGGTCTGGTGTCTGGTTGGAGGACACTTGAAAATGTCAGCTGAACAAGAACGGAACTAACAAAACCCAGCACACAACTTGACATTTAAAATGTCAACATACCTAACAGGAACGGAACTAACAAAATCTGGCTCTCAAACTTGTGCGACACGTCGCTGGGTGATATTTGGCTTGTTATTGCAATAACACGTCTCGTTTGTATACCCGAGCCTTGATAGTGGCCAGCACCATCGGTATCGGTTCTACGTAGGTACCTATATACTTCTGCTGTAGCTGCTGCACCAGCTGTCCGGCATGGCAATACTCGGCTCGGCCATTGCCGTTGATCCTCTAAATATGGGATAGACGTCTGGGATGAGGATTGGGCACTAAAGGGGGGGGGGAGGACTCTCGCTGGACGACGTGCACCGTCAGCACTTTTTCGCTCGAGTTCTGTCTGATTTCCGATAATGGTTTCAGGGGTAGGTAGACTGTGATCCGATGTGTGAGTTGCAATGCTACACTCACCATTTCTATTCGACCGGGACGACGCTAGTCGTCGTTTGAATAAATAAATGTCTTACCCAATGGATAGAGCGCCTAAGTCTTGGCTAAAAGCCAGTTAACGTTCTTACTGTAAACTGTCCTCAGATTTGAGCTAAGTTCAACGTTTAGCCTGCAGAGGGCACAAACTCTGAGAGTGCCGTTTTTACGAAAATCGTTGTTTAAAGATGAATTTAGACTCAGAAAAGATACGACATTGATTTTGCATGGATCGTTTTCCTCTCGTCGAGTCATGCCGAATGAACTATAATTTGAGCTTGAAGGTCATTTTGAACTTTTCACTTACCTAAGGTCAAGGTCATGACCTGACCGAAAGGGGTTATGCTGCATATCAGTCGATCTTTATCGTCGAGTTGAACTCATCTAAGATTGTTTAATCGCTCTATCTCTATCATGCTCTATCATGTACAGTCTGTCTTAAAAGTACCGCGCAAAGTGACGGTGGATCCATCAAGCCTGACTGAGGAAGGGGCTGCTATAATTTGAAAGTCACCGAACCAATTGACCTAGGGAATGGACGAGGATGTGAATTGCTTCAGTGACTCAAATTTAGTAGGCCCTTCCTCGGTCAGGCATGATGGATCCACC